CATAAAGGTGACTTCATTCATCATAAGACATCACTCCAAATAAGCCGGGTAACGTACCCTTGAAGTTTGAAAGCTCACCTCGCGACATGCATTCCTGAGCCTTGTCATAGTCGGCATCCAACTTCAACAGTTGCTGCTTCAGCTGGGCTGAGTACCTGAGTCACGCGCATGACCATCCCAATTAGAATCTTAAGAGTCACATGTATGGACACAATTTTTTCGATTTCAGTCGGATACGCATGCATGAGTACAGAAATAGACCCAAGTGAATCTATTACAGATAAAGTACCCTTGCATGGTGGTGTTGTTCTTGTAGGAAGTATCAACATCACGGATCAAAGAGCGAAGTTTGCCGCATGAGCTCAAAACGGCACTCATGTAAGTCTGCAAGGACTGCTTTGTCTGGCAACGGCAGGTGGCTATAGTCCAGGACGTATATAAGGATCGATGTGTGGTTACAATTGGTACGGCTTCAATAGGATGTGTGAAGGAATACCCTTACCCTTTTGGTCGTTGAACACTAACCACCAAATCAATTCTACTTAGACCGACCAATCCTGAATAGCGTTTCTATTTCCATTTGCTTGCATGCATGATTGAAAGATAAAACCAATTAGTTTCATCATGTGAAAAATTATTAATCTAATTCATGGTTCATGGCATAGGCCTCCATCTCCTGAGCATCCTCAGGGGCCGAATTGGCCCCCCTATCAGCCGTCACCCGGTCTGCCATGGCAGCGAGGCCATCGAATTCATTGGGGTCAACAGTGGGCCCTTCGTCCACCTGGAAGGCAAGCAGTGAGTCAGATTGGAAGAGGTATTAACAGGATGGTAGACACCTTGGAGACTGGAATCTTGAGGTGCGATGTAATTATATAAAATATTATAAATAAATACAATTCAGGAACCGATGATATCCGATGATGATCAAGAATCCATCCCAAGATAACATCCATCATTGGAAGTGGGTGTACATCAATATCAATGGGGCTGTCAATTATATATAGACATCCAGGTATTGATTGGGGTATTGAGATTTTGATTGATTGGGGTATCGAGATCATGGGTCCCGCCTTCTCAGCCTTTTTATGGATTTCCTCGGTGCTGCGACTCAGCTCGCTTTGAGCTCGTTCTTTTGTCACCACTAGGAACTCTTCGGCGTTGTCGTATCGATTACGCCTCTGGCATTCAAATGCGCCAAAGACTCTCGGCAACCATTTATGAAATGTATATAATATCATGCATTGATTGATTGGATAGCTGCAATCTATTGTAAAGAAATGTGGTCAGTCCTGCAGTGAGTGTCTTTTTTTGCGAGACATGCCTTCTTTGCTCCATCAATTCGGTTCCTTGGAAAATCGATGATAAAGAATAGCAATCAAGAACATCGGTCGGTAGTAACATTTGTACACCCATTTCAACATGTAAACCTCGAGGCCTGAAGTCAACATAAATTCTTTGCATTGGGTGATGGATACTCAGTGTCACATAAAGGGTTTCTATTATGATTAATATCCAAGAATCGAGGACCATTTCAGATCTTCCTTCATCTCCTTCTCAGTCAACCACTCTTGGTCCACCCAAGTCGTGTGACTTGAGCGCTTCTTCACAATGATTTCCAGGGATGAGATGAACTTGTCCTAGCCATTCTCAAGTGACCCAAAGAAATAAGATGTTGAAACTGGCTGGGTGTTTTAACATAATGCTTGCAACAAACATGAATGGTTGATACCCGGCCTTGCACCAGTTACAATCCATAAACAACTTGGCGGTCTCATTCTGCGGTCGGGTTTTCCACTCAGATTTGACCCAAGCGGGCAATTCTAAGTCCCTCCGAGAGCGATGATTTGCGCACATACGTCGGAGCCTTGCATTTGCAGCCTCCCGCAGTTTCTCCTGCAGGGGACATGCATGAAAGTACATAGCGATGCGTATCTCAAGCATCCTTGAATATACGTTTTCGTTCACATATGATGGTGGACGATCTGGATACACAACTGCATGCATAAACACGCATAGCACACATATGAATAATACATTAGCCACATACATAGGGCACAGTAACTTGTTGATTGGCAACAAAATGCACCATCCCACCAGGTTCATCGCACAATGTCCTGGCGAGTCAAAGGACGCCGGGGCTTGGGTTTGTTCTCGTTTGACTTGTTCTCTTCTGGTTTGGTACCTTCTGGAGTTTTCTCTGCCAGTTTGGGGCTAGGCTGCAGCTCTGGCAATTCACTGGCTGGTGTTGCTGGCTGTGACATCTGTGACGCTGTTGGGGTGACCACTGGCGTAGCTTCACTACCAACCTGCCGAGCAGGATTCTGATGATTTGGTTTAACAAAACACATAGTTGGCTACTTGCATCTTGTAAACACTGTGGGTCACCTCCGCCCTGCCTGTTTCGGGTGTCCTGTTGCGGCTGCCACTTCTTCTGGAGTGGCCTGTCGCCGGTCGGTGTAAAAGATTAGCAGTAGAGACCCCCACACCTTGGTATTGAAAATTCACTTGAAAGAAGAAACTTCGTTCTTGAAGCACATGTTTTTTTTGAAACTTGCGGGGTAATGGAATGGAAGGTCATGTTTGCAGGATGGTCCTTAACCAAGAATGTATTTGATTTTCAAGCACGTACATGCCTTGATGGAGATATTTTACAAGCAACTCATGAGCTATAAAAAGCAAGTACCAGTTTCATATGATACCAATTGAATCCAATTAAGAATATTCAATTATATAGCTTATTGTTGACCACCCCTGGAAACCAACCCGCAGGAACATCGCCTCCAATGTCTCCAACTCTTGCGGCGCAGGTGGCGGAGGCTCCTGGGCCCGAGGCAGTAAGGGCCACACACGGCATGCACGTTTGGACGTGAAAATCAAAGCGATATGTTCATGTTCAATTCTGTTCATTCTAGCTTCAAATATTAAAACATACTATATAAGTTTATATATACTTTTTTTCCCCAGCTGCCAGGTGAGGGTTGTTAGATTTTATCAGAGTTGTTCTTCTCCTCCTCTTCCTCCTCCTCCTTCCTCCTTCTCCTCCTCCACGTCCTCCTCCTCTTCTACCACCTCTGCCTCCACTTCCACGTCCACTGTTGCCTTGCCAGCTCTTGGCCAAGCTCTTCGCCAACTTCGGAGCTCAGTGCGCACTGCTGGACCTCAACCTGGGACCTTCCCAGCTCAGTGCGCACTGCTGGACCTCAACCTGGGACCTTCCGAGCTCAGTGCGCACCGCTGGACCTCAACGACCAGTCAGCATGCCACATAGAATGCCAGAAGATATGGCAGATAGAATGCCAAACGATATGCCAGATAGAATGCCAGAAAGTATATCAGATAAAATGCCATATAGAATGTCAGATAGAATGCCAGAAGATATGCCAGATAAAGTGCCAGAATGTTTGCCAGATAAAGTGCCAGAAGATTCGCCAGATGATATGCCAGAAGATATGCCAGATAGAATGACAGATAGAATGCCAGAAGATATGCCAGAAGATATGCCAGGTAGAACGCCAGAAGATATGGCAGATAGAATGCCAGAAGATATGCCAGATAGAACGCCAGATAGAATGTCAGATAGAATGCCAGAAGATATGCCAGATAAAATGCCAGAAGATATGCCAGATAAAATGCCAGAAGATATGCCAGATAGAATGCCACAAGATATGCCAGATAGAATGTCGGAAGGTATGCCAGATAAAGTGCCAGAATGTTTGCCAGATAGAATGCCAGAAGATATGCCACAACATATTGCAGAAGATATGCCAGGTAGAATGCCAGAAGATATGCCAGAAGATATGCCAGATAGAATGTCAGAAGATATGCCAGATAAAATGCCAGAAGATATGTCAGATAGAATGCCAGAAGATTTGCCAGTACAAAACGTATAAATGTCATGGTGGAGATAACTCGAAGTAAAGTAATTGTGGTGTGTTCTTGTATATGGCAAGGGCGGTCGTAAATCATGAGATTCAGTTTGATGTTGAAGCGAGGGTCCCTGGTAGATTCTGCAGCAACTCGAGCTTTCGCAGCTTCAATCTGTTGTTCTAAATCCTCGCGGGGTGGGCGGGCAGTGAAGTCACTCTCGCAGGTTTTCGAAAAAGGCTCTGCAACATGATCATAGTTTTCAATGAAACATATTTTGACCATGCAAGGTATGTACGCCAAAAAATCCTTAGTCATCTGAAGTAGTTGCTGTTCTTGATCTCGAATTTTGTCTTCTTCATCTGCTAGATTTGCTAGATGCTGGACACCATCGGATAGGGTGGCGCAACTCCAAACCCGGGTGCTGCCAGTTTCCATTTTGGAATCCACTGACATTGGATCGCGGGCCAGCGTCGGTGATGGATCTTACCAAAACTTCACGCTGTAAGCCAAGAACACGTCAAAGCTTTGAACAAGTGATTGCAAACACAAAACACATTTCCATCAACTCAAGTTGATCAAACAAATTGTCACATCGCAGAATCTTACACGCAGCTATTCATTTGAACCCATTTTTCCCATAGCGGTGACCTGTAGTAGTCCTACAAAATGAGTTGAAAAACTCACTTGGGACCAAGTGGAGCCAGAGGGCTTGAACCCATATTTTTCCTACGGGTTCCTACGGGTTATTTACGGGTTCCCTACGGGTTCCCTACGGGTTACCAAAACACGATGTTTCAAGATTTTACCATGAAAACACGATGTATTCCTAAATCCGCTACGGGTTCACTACGGGAAAAGACGGGTTCCCTACGGGTTCCCTACGGGTTCCCTACGGGTAAAGACGGGTTCTGTGTATCATCCCAGTTGGATTTTGCAATATTTTGCCCAAAAAGCAGTCAAATTGGATTTGGATCGTCAAAGTTGGTCAAAATAGTTCAAAATATTAGTTTGGATCTGGTTCGGAAAAGGCTACGTTTTGAAATATCACCAAATGACTGGCAACCTTCCACCCCCACGGCTCCTGGTGCAATGAATTGCCCGTCTGGGCGCTAGTCATGAAAATGTGTACTTTACAATTCCTTTGGGATAAAAGGCCTCCATGTATGAGGGATGACTAGGTACTTTCCCTTCCGCAAATAATTGAAAGCATCCTTCAAATTCCCAAAGCTCAGCTCTCCAGGCTCATCTTCCATCAGCTGGAAAGTCTCCAAAGCAGGCGGAAGAGCAGAGGGTAGCGGAACTCCGCGGGCCGTGGAAACCAGAGATTCAAACAGGTCCACAATAGCGAACCCGAATCTCACCGTGTATTCCCTTAGTTGATGTGGATTTGGCCCAGTACCAAAAGGGGACATGTATGCACGCACAGGCTAGGCTAGGATGGTCTTACAAGATAGTTTTAATTGAAGGTATCCTTTTTGGGTGACCAAATGGATTTAGCCTTTTTGGGGGACCAAATGGACTCGACCCAGTTTCAGGTAACTGTGTATGTCGCATGCAAATAAATTGAGAACCCCAAACTGCGTCAACCTAATGACAAAATCATTGTTGGATTTTTCCCACATGATGACAACGAAACAAAAATATGAAAAACATGAAATCAAATTCACACTGAGTGTCTCCGTTTTCTTGAGAGCCTTGGTTCCTTTGTAGCAGGTTTTACCAGCTTTATTTTTATAAACAATGGCCGTCGGGGCCCCACCCTCTTCGATGGATTTGCGTTTCCACCCGGTCAGAGTGCCTCTGTCCAGTTTGGATACATGGGTCGAATTTGCGTATGCCCAGTGCCTCTTTGGCGTTCTTGACGAGTAGTGTCGCATCCACCAATGGACCTTTGTCACCTGAGCCAGATGGCCGGTAATTAAGCGTATTGTTAAGGTTTCCATCCAAAATAAATGAAAACGGTAATGTACTTACTATATCAGAACATGGCTTTCATCAGGATTTGAGACGGCTGTTAATGATGAGTCAACTGTCATCAGGATTTTGATCTGTAGTGATTAATTCCAGAAAGATCGAAATGAAAACCTTAGACCCCTACAGCGCTACCACCATAGGCATAGTAGAGTTTGCACAGGAATTCCCGATAGAAGGGGAAGTACTGAAGCAATGACCCAGACGGCTGCTCAAGCAGCCAGCATCCACCCAAGGCTGTTGTCAACAATAGAAGGTATGTTGTCCTTAGTTGGCAATACAAAACGAAGGTGGTTCATCAAGATTAATCTCATACTAAAACCCAAATGTGAAACATCACTTCCCGATGGGACCCATCCAAGTTGGAAAACCAAATCCTGCATTGCACAGTATATCACCAAATATATTTTAAAGTATGGCCTTTTCAGTACCTTCCGTTTTCATTCAGAAAAGGTTCCGCACAGCCATGCAGTTTGAAAGGGAAACGCTGGGATATTCCATGAAACCTAGACTGTTGTTGGCACTTCGTTGGGATGTGCCTCTATTGATCCCGGTCCACGATGCACACTTGATGGCGAAGGTGGAGAGAAAACGCCGGCTGCGGCACTTAAGCAAAGTGCACACACCCAGACTCAGTTGCACGGAGATGGGGTGAGATGGGTGAGGCTTGGCGGGGAAAAGGAACCGTGTTTCTGTAAAGGCATTTCCCATGAATGGGGGGATGGTTTCATAATCTCTGAAGTGGTGACTCGAATCATTCCAAGCGAATACTCAAACAAATCAAGCTGCATATGACACAAACCCTTTCTAGTTAGACATCTCATATCTCATGTGTATCCAGTATGCAAGAGTGATAGCTAGCCCAGGGTTTCCCATACACATATGCAATCATGATCACGTCAAAACAAAAAGTGATGCTTTCAGATGTTTATGTTCATCATATCAGTAACCCAGCTTCTTAAACATACATAATGTTAAGCAAAATGTTTCAGTCCATCCCAGGCTCAACATGACCAAAATGAGATGCCTACAAGGGCATGTACGGTGAACACCCGTTCTTATTTTAAGAAATTTATGACGTCAAATTGTATATATGAAACATGGTCATCAATCCAATCTGGGCAGCCAATTTGCAGCTATACAGTGTCAAAGTAAAATGAGAAACATGAAACTGTTTTGTTCTTGAGTGCACGCATCAACCATTTGGTATTTCTTTGCAACGTGAAAACAGTCATAAACAAACTTGAATGAACATGTTAGCCAGAAAAAAAAACTTGCATCGCCTGGGTTGGCAAATGTCAGGTCTCCGTCGTTGCATGGATACACAAATTCGACTCCTGTACATGTTGAGTATTGTTCAGTAAAGTTCCACATCTTAAATTGAACCAAGATTCCAGAAACCAGCCGCCGACAATATATCCATACAGTTGCTACGGTGGTTCTCCGACCCATTCACTTTATAGAGCAGGTCAAGACTTGCCGTGCGGATTCCTGAGGCCCTCATGCATCGAGACAAGTTTGCCTTCCCTGCATAGAACTCCACGTAGTCGAACTCCTGGTTGGCGAGCGAGAAGTAAGTAGGAAACCAATCGGCTGATGCATGTTTAACTCAGTTCGATCGTATGTATGTAAAGTAATGGGCCCTTGAGTACGTGCAAGCTAACCAACTCGAGATTCTTGTCACATGAGTGTGAACATATGAAAATCAATTCGTGCATGCATAAGACATCTATACTGTATCAGATCATATCTTAATCTGTATGCGAATGCGGTATGTGGTATGATCTCCTCACCCAGCTTCAGGGTTTCGGTCCAAAGCGTAAGCATGATGATCATACCGAACACCTGTGCCACTGCCATTGGAACTCAAAATGTGGAGTACTCGCATTTGAACCTATGGAAAGGAAACGCGATAGCCTTTGCATTTTTCCCCAGCTTCCAGGTGAGGGTTGTTAGATTTTATCAGAGTTGTTCTTCTCCTCCTCTTCCTCCTCCTCCTTCCTCCTCCTTCTCCTCCTCCGCGTCCTCCTCCTCTTCTACCACCTCTGCCTCCACTTCCACGTCCACTGTTGCCTTGCCAACTCTTGGCCAAGCTCTTCGCCAACTTCGGAGCTCAGTGCGCACCGCTGGACCTCAACCTGGGACCTTCCTAGCTCAGCGCGCACTGCTGGACCTCAACCTGGGGCCTTCCGAGATCAGTGCGCACCGCTGGACCTCAAAAGCCAGATAGAATGCCAGATGGAATGCCAGAAGATATGCCAGATAGAATGCCAGAAGATATGCCAGAAGATATGTCAGCTAGAATGCCAGAAGATTTGCCAGTAACAAGACGTGTAAATGTCATGGTGGGGATGACTCGAAGTAAATTACTTTTTGTTTGCATCATCATTTTACATTTCAATCAACAACTTGGATCGATATCGGATACGCCAATGGCTTTGAGCCCCTGACCTTGGGGCACCCCAGTTTCCATAGGCTGTAGAACAAAGCATCTAGCTGAGGTGAATCAACTTTGTCTCTCCCATTCATGGGCGAGGCAGGGCTTGCAACAGACCACGGGAGTGAATCAAAAGGTGATTCCTCTGAGCCTGAAATCCTCGTTGCCGTGAATGCAGCTGAGAACTGTCCAAAATCAAAGTCTCTGAATTTAAACTTGATTCTATACAGTTGAAGTTGCTGAATATGCGGTATATCAACTGGATTGGTGTAGACTCAAACAAGTCAGTTCGACCGCCTTTCCTCTTATGTTTTCGGATGGACAGCCGCACTGACCACACCCGACCCCGCGAGCCAGGCATTTCACATCGGCTCCATCAGGCATGATGGATGGCCTCCATGAAGGGGGGAGTGGAAGGTTGACATCGGGTTACTCATCAAAATCTAATTCCACACTATGCAACAATGAAAACAGTTCATAGCAGTTCAGAAGCCATCACTTTTTCACCTTGAGATCAAACTGGCAATCAGCAGTCTATGTACTGAAAAGAATCATCCGTGAAAGTTGAACGGCATGTTGTGCAGCCATTCATGAGAGAACCCCAAATGGCACACAGTGCCCACGCCCCCTGTTGCACCGTAGCAAGCTAGTCAGCTGTTTGATGTCAATCACTGATTTTTCAACGTTAAACCCGAAGCTATACAAACCTCTCGCATTGAAACAGTCATGAAAACTCAAAAGCGTGGTAAGAGTATTGTACGGTGACCAAGGAGGAAGGAGCACAAAAAGTGCACCATAGACATTGCCCATAAGTATATTCCCGGGAAGCCGGCTGCGCACCAATCAGCTCACCATGCTACCCTGAAGCTATACACGCAGACCCAAATTTCAAAGCTCAATCCTCTTCCCCGCCAGCCCTTCGGCGCAACATCTCAAAGGCCATGCGCCCACAGCGCTTGAGCGTCTTCTCAGTGTGTGGGCTTTTGCGCTCCTAGTTCAAAGCCTAGGCGCGGGGGAGCGAGAGATTGTAAAGGTGAGTATGGGGCAAGACACATAATCATGTTAATCAGTACCAGTCATTAAAGAAACATTTTCATGTATCCCCATTTGTTAAATCAAGTTCCATGCCATGTTGCTCCCATCACCCAATACTGAAGAAAATCAGAAAGAAACATATGTTTATTTTTTCTCCCAGGGGCAGTCATGTACGCAATCTTTGCACTGATTGCCATCTTCCATGGCTCAGGGGACCAAAGGTTATTGAAAGAGCAATGATGACCATCCCTGCCCTCTGCAACAATTTTCAGTCCACATCCACATTTGCTCCAATAGAGGTTGAGGGAATGTTCTTCCAACCCACTAAGCATCCCTTTGATCTTTTTCTTGTAGGAATCACTTTGCGGGGAATCACTTTCATCGAAGTTCATAGCGAAGTCAACCAGCATTTGGGCCAGCTCTGTGTCAGCTGGATCAGCTGGGGTGTGCGCAGGGACCTCACTCCCACGTCCCCTTGCTCGGGACTTTGCCTTGGGTTTCGGCTTCGCCGCAGCTGCTTTTGGTTTTCTTTCTTTCACCTGTTTCCCCTCAACAGCACCTTTGGGTTTCCTTGCAGCAGACTTGGCTGCAGTCCTTTTCCCATGAGCACCCGAAGAAGCAGGTGCAGCCGATGCTGAACCAGACGGTTCCTTCTTACGTCGTGTCTGCTTCTTGTTGTTTGATGTGTCAGGATCGGTGTCAGCCAAAGGTACAGACTTACGTTTGCGCCCTGGCTTTTCCCCCCCAACCTCAGTCACATCAGTGTTTCCACGAGAAGAGGAAGCAGCGGCAGCAGCACTGCGCAAAACCCTTCTCCCACGATGAACCTTCTTTTGGGGTGTAATCGTCTTGCTCTTCCGCGCTTTCTTACCCTTCCGTTTTCCGGCCCCCCTCTTGCCCTTCTTCCTGGACGATTTGACTGTTGACTTGAAAGCCAACTGGTCAGTTCGAAGAAGGACTGCAGCACCAGGTACTGCAGACTCCTGGAGAAGGACCAATGGCCACCATCAGTTGCATTGTTCTCATGCATGTGTACATGAAGGTATATGATTAAGCATGCACATCGGTAGCCGCCTTTGATTCTATAGCTTGTCAAAAGGTATGCGCTTCTGTACTTGAGCGTTATGGGAACCACTCGTCAACTTAAAGATGCGCTCACTTGTATTTATCTATCATCACTTGATTGCGAAAATGACTTGGTTGATTTGTTCCCAACCTGCCAGGTGAGGGTTGTTAGATTTTATCAGAGTTGTTCTTCTCCTCCTCTTCCTCCTCCTCCTTCCTCCTCCTTCTCCTCCTCCGCGTCCTCCTCCTCTTCTACCACCTCTGCCTCCACTTCCACGTCCACTGTTGCTTTGCCAACTCTTGGCCAAGCTCTTCGCCAACTTCGGAGCTCAGTGCGCACTGCTGGACCTCAACCTGGGACCTTCCGAGCTCAGTGCGCACCGCTGGACCTCAACTTGGGACCTTCCGAGCTCAGTGCGGACCGCTGGACCTCAACGGCCAGATAGCATGCCAGAAGATATGCCACATAGAGTGCCAGAAGATATGCCAGATAGAATGCCAGAAGATATGGCAGATAGAATGCCAAACGGTATGCCAGATAGAATGCCAGAAGGTATGCCAGATAAAATGGCAGATAGAATGTCAGATAGAATGCCAGAAGATATGCCAGAATGTTTGCCAGATAGAATGCCAGAAGAATTGCCAGATGATATGTCAGATAGAATGCCAAAAGATATGGCAGATAGAATGCCAGAACATTTGCCAGAAGATATGCCAGGTAGAATGCCAGAAGATATGCCAGATAGAATGCCAGAAGATATGGCAGATAGAATGCCAGAAGATATGCCAGATAAAATGCCAGAAGATATGCCAGATAGAATGCCACAAGATATGCCAGAAGGTATGCCAGATTGAATGCCAGAAGATATGCCAGATAAAGTGCCAGAATATTTGCCAGATAAAGTGCCCGAATGTTTGCCAGATAGAGTGCCAGAATATTTGCCAGATGATATGCCAGAAGATATGCCAGATAGAATGCCAGAAGATATGCCAGATAAAATGCTAGAAGATATGTCAGGTAGAATGCCAGAAGATTTGCCAGTAACAAACGTATAAATGTCATGGTGGGGATAACTCGAAGTAAAGTAATTTGATTTTACATCGGGCCCACAGTGGGCATTTCCAGTTCTCAAGTTAAGAGATGCGATCACTATGGTATGAGCCAAGGTGACAGGTGACACTATATTTATAAAACTTCTTCTTGTGCATATGAAGCTGGCATACCACCCCTTCAGTCCTCAGCAGCCTCAGCATGGCCAGGTCCATGCAAATCCACAGCAGCAGATGGAGGAGGCAGAGTGGGCTGAGGGGCTTTCTCTGGCTTGCACTGGTCCTTGAACTTCTTCCGGTTTTGGTCGGCAGTCAAGCCTGGAGATGCCACTGCGGGAGGTGACTTTGGGACGTCCGCATTCATGATATCGATGGGCTGCGTCTCCAAGTTGTCAGCATGCCCACGGACAGGGGTTGGCAATGCCCGATCTTTTCCTGGAAAACGTGACAAGCCAACTTGGGTCATCATGATTCATCACGATTCATCATGTTTTGAAATCAGTTCGACAATATCGATATGATACGTGATTTCATCTGTTCAGTTTACAGTAACAAAGGGTGAACATAAAAAATGGAATAAACTGCAATTGCGATGCAATGATGGTATAGCACAAAGTAGTGGATATGACTTTTCGTTTCAGTTTCATCTTTTAGTATATAACTTCAATTTGTTTTGGACATCTTACCAGACACTTCGGTTTCTGTAGATCGAACCCAAGATGGTCCTGAACTCTTCGGTCGTTGGGATGGTTCCATCGGTTCAGCCTTCATCTTTGCAATGGATGCGTTGAGGTGCCGCTTCCTCTCTTGCAACCTTAATTGTTCAGGTGAGAGGCACCAAAAGGGACAGAAGATTCCAAAGAACTATACGATAGACATGCATGACTAAAATATCAGATCGCAAAGTATAAAATAAACTATATATATATATAGGACCAAACCTGAACCATCATCAAAACTCAAACCACCAAAGGCAGATCACCAAGTAAGGGTGAACCTTGAACGCACCACCATTCACCCCTTTTAGTGCTGAGAAAGTGACGCTTGCAATTGGGACTTGGCAGCCGCCAATGATTGGACCATTGCCTGAAGATCTTGATCAGCTTTGGCAAGTTGAAGATCCGAATCACCTGCGGTAGCTATGGTTTCTTTTGGGGATACATGACGAACGTGGGAAAACTACATAGATTGAAATCGATGGGGGCATGCGCTACTTCTCGGCTTTCCCCTTTCTATGATTGATAAGTTCTTGATTAAATGGTTTAACATCATTTTGCTTGACCAGAATGCCCACAAACAGTTGATCAGCATAAGATGCTACAGTAATTATCCATGGAACCTTTTTTGATGATCCAATGGACTACTAAACATTCACTTTCATGAGCTCCTATCTAATCACCCCGGTCACCGTGAGACGCCTTCCAACGGACCAGGCGATGGCAAAGAAGCCGAGAGAGAATTTGCTGCCGAGTCTGGCGAAGGACCGCGGGTCGTCTCTGGAGCTGGATGGGCGGGTGTGGCCACGGTGGCTCCCGCAGATGAAATTGGATGGCCATCTCCAAAAAGAGGCAATGAATCTGGGGCCATAGGCTGGGGTTGGTCTGGAATGTCTTGGCCCCGGATCTCATCATTGATGTCCTGGTCTTGAGATTCCGCATCACTCCCATCACTCCCATCATCATTACTGCCACTGGTGCTGCTTGCAGCATCCTCGGCGTCGTACGCATCAGGATCAGGTTTCTGCTTTGATTCCATCAGTGCCTGTCAAGCAGGCATCCATAGATTCTTTCGGTGTATGCAATGGTGAAAGGTGATTATATGTGATTATCTAAGTTGTCGCATGATGTTGCATGATGATGTTGTATGATATGGCCATGGTAGAATATACATAGCGCACGATGTTTTGTTCCATGCATCTGAACTTCTTAACATATGAACTTCTTCAACCAAAGGTCTCAGTTGATTGAAAAACATAGAGAACCACATTGTAACCATATGAAACTGAGCTGAAGATCCATACGGGGAAGCAGCGCCTTCCGCGCATCTAATTTTGCTTGGTGCTTCCTCCTCACTTCCATCACCAAGTCCTAGCCACCCCCGCATCGGCTGGGGCAAACGGTTTCACAACACATGTGTCCAGCGAGAACAGTTTCTTGATGTTATAATTTGTAACCCTCATGGGCCCACTCCATGTGTTGATCTTGGAACCCCTCCAGAAGCAGCATATCCTTCAAGTCCGGCTTCAGGATGAGGCAAAGCTCCTGGAAGTTTTCAACCTGAAGGACAGAGACAGCTGGGCATAACTGGTGTCTAGGGGCATGGGCATGGGTCAAACTCTGTTTCCATTTCCATGAGTTGAGCCGTGCCGGATTTAGAGATCAATTGCATGCGTCACCAAATGACATCAAACGGATGAACCCTCTTCAGCATAAGATGATAAGACAGCAATGATGAAGTCCACGGGGGTTCCACCAAAATGATTAAACCAAGTAGCTGTGCTCACCTTCTTGGTGCGCACCTTCATCTTCACAAACGAGCAGAACTTGCGAATCATCCAGCCATCACCCATCACCACCAGGTCATCTGGTAACGTGCTACATTTTTCATACAAATGTGTGATCTCTTCCTTGAGCCGGTCAATGCCTGGTTGAGGCATGCCAGGTGTTTGTGCCATTCGCTCTACGGGAGGCTTCAAGGTGTCAAAGATGTGTTGATGATTCACACTTTTCACATTTTCCGTGATACTTGATGGGAACAACACTGCCGCATTCTGTTGACGCAGATGGTCCCGTATCGAGGAAAAGTTTTCCCACTCTGAAGCCAAGCCATCCAAACCAAGCTTTGGCTTTGCATCATCCTCAACGGAGGCTGAACTCATGGCAGGGCTAACCTAAGCTGACACCTATGCCAACAAGGTCCCAATTGAGCAAAAACGATTTCTCGAGGGAAAGGCCAGCGCATGGCAGTAAAAAGAGGTTGAACCATGTAGAGTTCTAGCATGTCTTGCCTCAAACTCTCAAACACATGAAGCTGCTTTGCAGGACTCTAGCTGGCCTGAAACAGCTGCGCTGCAACCCACACGGCGCTGTCAAAAATGGGCCGCAATGGAGCCGGGATTGGTTGTCACAATTGCCACTGCATGAGTTGAAAGGATTTGATGAAATCCTTGTTCTTCCTATTGTGGACTGTATCTTTCAACCATGTTGATCATAAATGATATCTTAAAATCAATATCCTGATCCTGATGCAATTTCTGTGGGCCCACCACCACATCCACCACACCATGAATGGTGTAGAGCCATCCTGTTTGAGAGGCGGCTTGGATAGCGAAGAGAATCAATGGATGTGAGAGTATAGTGAAGGCTATAATATCTATATTGCAAAGGATTATAGATGACATTCCCAAAACACTATGTTTTTTCAGAAAACACGATGTTTTTACAATACCATTGTGAGAACATGATGTCTCCAAAAAGAGTCGACAAATTCTAAGGTTCCAGGTTCTTTAGGTATATATATATACACACACTCATCGTTGTCGCTTCATCCCCCGTTCATATCCCATCAAACGACAACCGTTACCAAAAAAGCTGGCTTAAGTCCCCGTTTCTTCATGCTGGCTTAAGATCCATTCATATTCAAGTATCCATCTAATTTCAATGAAGATCCACAAAGATCCTACCACTAGATGTCCATTACTAGGGCTCATAACCACCACCTTGAAGCCTCAAAACCTCGATTTTTGAGGGCACGAAAGATGTTTTTTTTGATGTGGCATGGAAGCTATCTTGTTAATCACTTAAGTGCAAGGTTCAGGCAACATGATGTGCATGTCATTTTGGGTGATCCCTTTTCCAGTGTATTTGCTACTTTGTTGCAAGCACAATATTTGGTGACTCTGTACAGCGCTTTTTCGTGGCAGGCGCAATATGTGCTCATCCTCCTGTTTCATTTTGGTGGCAGGCGCAGTATTTGGTGAACCTCTCCATTTTTTTGTGGCAGGCGCAGTATTTGATGAACCTCTAGTTCCTCTAGTTCCGCTTTTCATGGCAGACGCATTATTTGGTGAACCTCCAGTTCCATTTTTCGTGGCAGGCGCAGTATTTGGTGAACCTATACTTCCATGTTTCGTGGCAGGCGCAAGGAACTTGAAGGGCCAGGTGGCCAAACGTGTGGCGAAACCCTAATTCATAACGTTGGAATCCAATGTTATGCTTGTTTTTCGTGGCAGGTGTGGGACAACAAGAGTGAAAATCATAACGTTGGAAACATGTTAACAAAAAGTCGATATATTCCTTTTTGACGCGTCTCCAACGTTATGATTTTCACTCTTGTTGTCCCACGTCTGCCACGAAAAACGAGCATAATGTTGGATTCCAACGTTGTGATGTGTGTTTTCGCGTGGGGAGTACCTCGATTTTGGCCGAAGCAGCTGTCCCTGGAAATCGCAAAACCCATTGTAATTGGCTCTTTCATAATAGTCAATCCGCGGCGCTTCAAACTATTACTTTTCGTGGCAGGCGCAGTATTTGGTAAACCTCTAGCTCCATTTTTTGCGGCATGCGCACTATTTGGTGAACCTTTAGTTCCATTTTTCATGGCAGGAGCAGGATTTGGTGAACCTCCGGTTCCATTTTGTCGTGGCAGGTGCAGTATTTGATGAACCTCTAATGTTCTTTTGAATGGTACGTAAAGTGCAAGTGGACAACAAAACGTTGCCTACGGCCATTCAAGGGAGGGGTTGCAAGACCACACTTCTCCCACAAGCAGGCGCTGCAAATCCTCTATAGACAGCCTCCTTTGAATGGCCCTTTGCAATGTTTTGTTTTCATAACAAAGAACCATGAGGTACAAGAAATGTTCGACCGCTCTGCTCGGCCTGCAGAGCAGCTTGAGCAGCTTGAGCAGCTTGAGCAGCTTCCAACTGGTGGGCCCTGGAAATTATCCAGAAATAGTGAAATTCAGAATGCCCAAGAAAAAACATTCACCTCATTCTTTTCCACTGGAAAAAAAACACCTAGAAGAGGGTGAAATCCCGGATCTGCCCAGTCCGAGGTGCCAGGGACTTTGCCTCCAGAGGTTCCTTGCTGCAGAGCCAAGGCTTGGAGAAGCCAGTCACCTCGGAGAAAAACATCGGGGATCTGGGGGGAAAAACACATGTCTTAGGTGAAAAAATGGAGGATTTTGGTAGGATTTGAGCGGCAAAAAACAGGAGGCTGGGGGCAAAAACATGGATTTTCCGGCAAAAGCCATAGGACTGGTGGGGCATAGGCAATTGGTTGTGCAATGTTTGTATATATGAAGGAGTTTTTGTGGAGACTTGGTATTGAAGGTATAGCCGGTGCTGTGTCAGGTTTGATATGGTCTCGTTTGGGTATGGGCCCGGTCAAAACCCTGGTGCCCACGAGTTTTCTTGTCGCGCAAGAGTTGGTGTTTATTGACCCATCCCGAATCCCGGAATCACCGCTAATCCCATCGAATCCCATCACATTAAACACCCGCGAAGTCTGGTCCCAATGATGTGAAAAAGTTTAACATTCCCTACTAAACCATGGTTTAAACCATGGTTTAAACCATGATTTCAGGAGGGTCTTTGATAGGGGGATGAGAAAAAATCAGGAAGGTGATCCACTTCCATATGTCCAACATGGGGAGTCCTCCGTGACAATTGGGAGAAACCACCAACAGTGGTGGACATGATGGTTTAAGTCACTTATGTTCAACTTCAGAATAGGCCCAAAACCTCTTGGGAGGTTTACCCAGCTGCTAGTTATTAATACGTCTGCTTAAACAGCGTAATCTTATGTGCCCAGTGCCCCCATGAAAACTTCACATCCCCGGAGGATCCTGGGAGTTTGGAAGACCTCAAAAATGATGATAAACATTTTATGGATGATGTTGGCAACCTGGTTTTTGACCTTCAATTTCAGATCTTGGCAACCTCACACAATTGACCTGGATCCTAACTTTGGCACATGTCTTAGCTAATTTTTTGCTTAGTTACTGTGACCCCACATGGTGAGATCACTGGGAATCGTCCCATTCGAATTCGAAAAAAACCAACAGCTCAACGGCTCGTTGAGCCAGTGACGATATCCCAAAGCCAGTGAAGCGCTTGTTGAGACATGACCTGCGCTCCAAAAACGGCTGGAGATGTCCGCGCTAAAAATCGCGATCCACGATCCGCGGATGTGAAAATATGTATTTGAAAGAAAGCTCGGGGCACATCTTCCATAATTTTGGGAAATCCCGTGTAAATGAAGGCTTTAATGGGAAAATCAACTAGAAATGATGGATGTTCCATGGCCATCTTTGATTTCCGGAGGGTAACATGAAATTCTTCGGGCATCTCTTTGACTTCTACCCATCAAAAGTCCGCACCAAGGTACTAAAGAGCTCTGGGAGGAGAGGAGCGAATAGAGGAGCAGGACCATGTTCCTCAGATTTTCAGCACTGACAATGGATAGTGAATCCCCAAGACATTCCCGTATGCTCCAAGTATGGTATATTTACCGACATTTATCCCCCAAAAAAGGGTCCAGATGTAGGAAAATATACCAGCACCATGGAGGATGTGAGATTGGTTGAATCCATGCAAATCCCGATCTTTGATGATTTTCACATCAGATTATCGCAGGCCAAAATCACCAAGGCAGGAAAACCCGACTTTGCATCATCTTGATGGGTGGCCCTAGAAGAGGTACAGTGGAGTGGTTCCGATTGATATGTTGATATAGCGACCCCAGAGAGATATAACATATCATAAGAGTAGAAATCATTGTGTATGTATCACTATCTTACACTATCTTACACTGTCTTACACTATCTTACACTATCTTACACTATCTTACACTATCTTAGTAGGGGAATTTTGCTGTCTATTTGTGCTATCTTTATATCGGGGGGCTATGATGCGACATGGAACTTAAACAAACAACTGCCATGGCTCCATGGTCTCGCTAAGCCAGTGCTGAAGAGAACCACATGAAGGTCATGCAGCGCCAGCCAGTCACAATTCAAAGCATTCCTAAGGACCGACGGCCGACGGACGTGGTGGCTTAAAATGCCGAGAGAATGCTGAAGAACAGGCTGATAATGATAAATAATATAAATAATGATGGGATATGATGGGTGAAGCTTTTGTGAGCCATTCAACATTTGAAACTTTTGGTGACCAAAAAAAACATTGGAGTTCTACACTTTTTCAGGGCAGTTCAACTCCAATGTTCTGCTCCAATGATGCTCCTGGGAACTGAAGCCAAATCGTTCCCTTGGGGATGTCATGATTTCAAGCCATCGGGCCATCCACCACTTTTTGAAAAAAGGCAGATCGACCCACCCAAAAGGCGCATCCAGTGCAGTGCCGGGGATCTTTAACAACCGAATAACTGTGAGCAGAAGCACCTCATTGTCTGCCGCGCAACACATGGAACATGGGCTTTCACCAGCAAAAAGCCCATGGGTAGTTCAGATGGTTTCAGCAGGAAGAAAGTCGTGATTAACAAAACAGGAGGTTCAACATGGTTCAACTATATAAGCTAGAACTGGTGTTTCATCATGTTTCATCACCAGTATGGATCAATATCTAAGGCTAAGGTGAAGCATAGTGAAGCAAAACAATAAAAATAGAGTCTGTTTATGGAATCAAACAGACAATTTATAGAGCACCCATTTTTGCCCCATGCCCATGTGCAGGTGGAACACCTCAAATCCCAAAAATCATATCAAATCTGCGCAGTGTAGATTCTACTTGTCCGAGTACGCCCATAATTCGACGCAAACAAAACAAACGCCATTTCCTCGTTCTTTGTGAAGAAACTCCAAGCAAACTTTGTGTCAGGTCACTCTTGGCACTGTACCTCCACGTTTCAGACTTTTCACACCACCTAAGGTTAGCATCGATACTGACCCTAGTTAACCCCCAATTGTTTGGCTGCTTGCCCCCACAGATGAAGAAATAGTCCCGTGTTTAACCTGGAAACCAGGATCCCTAGTAGTGCAAGTAACTTCCCAAAAGAATGCGCTGGATCTTTGGTGTTGACCCCATGTGACCGCCATGGTAAGTATCCCTGCAAAACGCCATCCGCAAGCTCAGCCACACAGGTGTCCTGATCACATTTCATCGACATTTGCCTGAGCAAAAAAACATGGGTCATCATGGGTCCACTGTGCAGAAGTGCATCTTTCATACTAGTCGACTAATAGATTGTTAGGTCTAATTATTAGCTAGTCGTAGCTTGGATATGACTATATACAGTAGTGGGTTGGGTGGGCTACAACCAACAGGAGCTGGTGGTTTAAACAATAGAAACTAGCCATACTAGCCATTCATGAGGCTTCTTGGTGGTCCATTCTGCTTCCTGATAGGATACATGATACATATATGCATACGTGTATATAATGTATACATATTATATACAAACATATATATATATGTATATATATATATTTATTTATTACTGCATTACTATATGTTGTTATACGTATGATATGTTCACCTATGTAGTAAGTACATAAGGCAAGTAGCCAAGTCCATTGTCCTTTGAAAATGAAGTTTTGGAACTGCAACGCACACTTGAGATCACTGGAAACTTCAGCTATGGCAGCTATGGAATGCTGGGTAGCGTTGGACCACCAGCAAGGATTTCCCCATGTTGGCCATATCCACACTTTGAACGGGATTCGCAAAGGGACTGATATTGGCAATCTTGGGATTCCCACCACATTTTTTGCATACCAGGGTCTTCAGGTTCTGACAAACCCCCCAGGTTCATTGTTGCTATCTGATCTATCTGGATCATTTACCATCAAAAACCATGACTGCTTTCCACATCAAATTCATGCTCTCCCAGCTATCACTGCTGCACTGTTTTCAGAGGAGACCTCAAAATAATTCAAGCATCGTTGGAAGATATACAGCAAGCAATTCAACCCCATTCCTAAGTGCTACCCTCATTATAAGTGAAAAATGGTCATGTTCTAATAACCAGATGCTAATTGTCTGTTTCTAATCAGTAAATCCACTTTTCAGCCTTCCAGGAGAGACCGGGATAGCTTTACATTCTCTTCTTGGTGGTTGCTGCCTGGTTGTTTCACCCCATCCGAAAGATATGGGTCATTGGAATCCTCCTCCCAAATGTGGATCAGCAGGATGAAACTTCGAAAAAGTGGAAAAATCACAAGTTGAAACCATCAATATCTTGGGGTGATCATTGAATATTAATTGAATCATTGTCAGTACCAGATCGGAGAATGGTGGTTTAACATGGTAGTTTCCACCATGACCCCCAGAAATTTTGGCTTTCGGCCCCAGATGCAGCTGGAAGTTCCCTGCGGCTTTCAACAGGAAATCCACCTGCCAGACGATGGCAGGTGTCATCAAACGGCTTTACAAGCAGGGAAATCCACTAGAAATGGGGCTTTTAATAGGAAAATCACCTATAAAAAAACATCTTTTTTTAGTGTACTATAGGAAAATCACCTCTAAAAACCATGTTCTGTTTATAGTGTATTTTTCCAGCACGCCATGTTTGATGACACCGGAGGGGAACCTGTAGAAAACCAGTGCTAGGTTGGATTTGCAGAGTCTAGATGAGAATTCCAGTGTTCACTGGTAACAATAAGTGCATGTTCTGTGGAGCCCAAACTGATATCCATGTGACTAGTCACCTTGTAGATAGAATATGGACGTTTCAAAAATATCTGCATTCAAATTGAGTGAGGACTCTCGGAAATTACAACATTCTAGCTACTCCAGAAAGACAATATCATTGGTTAAATCAAGGCACTTTGCATCTCCAAAAGCAGGACTGGTTGTCCATGCGCATCTCATAGCAGGTTCCGAGCAAATTCCTGGAGCTCCAAGCATGGGTCAAAAATCCAGGTCCATGAAAACAGAAGTAAGTTTCTATGGTACATAAGAGAATAGTAACTATTTTCTACGGGAAATAGTGGCTGACTGTGAAACAACTGAGATTTTCATCGTTTTTTCGTGATTGGTTGCATTCTCTTCGGATACCGATGGCCATCAGCACAAGGTGATTTTTCACAGGTTTTAACATGTTTGAACCACAGGTAATGATGCACGTTTACCTCATTCAACTGGTCACAAAAAAACTTGCAGAAAGCGTTGAATCCCCATCTTTGCTGCGCTGTTGAAATTCCACCCATGTTTTGCTGGTCATTGGTTTCTGAGATCCCCGAATATGGATCATATCCTCACGAAATACGTTAAAAAAAAAAAACGTCTTCTGGGTATCTCCCATTTGCAAACACAGCCAGATTCCAGTGTTCATGATACATCATATTATATTATGTTATGTTATATTATATTATATTATATATATTATATCATATTCTATTATATTATATTATATCATATTATATTATGTTATATTATATTATATTATGTTATATTATATTATATATATATATATTATATTATATTAAATTCCGCCGTGTACACCCACCGTATGTATCCACTACTGTAGTCACCATTCCATTGGTTCATCCCAATCTTTTGTTTGATACACCACATAAACCCACGGGCATCTCCGGATTTTTCAGACCCAGAAATTTTAGAAATTTCTAAGCCCTAAGTTACGCTCCCAGAATCAAACATGGCGTGCTGGAAAATTGTGGAAAATACCCTATTTGTCGATGTTTATTTTTTCTAGCTAGCCTTGTTGGATTGAAGGTATCTTCATTGATTGCACACTCCCATTATCCAAGTACTGTCCAAAAACAACATGCAGTAACATTCCATTAATATCCTATGATTATACTACCATCATCCCATTCATGTTGCATTCAGATTCCATTGATATTGCATGAAAGGAACAGGCCCATGTCTTTCCCCGGACTTTGCGGTGCAGCTATGATGCGTCACCGGCTGCAAGCAAACGAAGTCCCCGTATTCGCCTCGCGTTGAAGTCGGGGGAATCAGGTCTGCAGATATTCTGCTTGGATCACCCCACGGATTCCACGGATCGGAACTGGTTAGGAACCGTAGTTCAGCCATTTTCAGCCATTTTCATCTGGGATAACCGTGGATCACCCACGATCCATGGGACAAAAACTGGCCATGATGGTAAACCGAAGCGATCCGTCGGAGGATCCTCCAAGTGAGGGGTTGCCAGACGATACAAAAACTGAGCCCATGGGGCCCATGGTCAAATTACATGGCTGGTTGAACCAACAAAATGGGATTTTTGAATGAGTATGTAATGGGAATATAACGCCTGTGTATTGCCAAGAATATGAGTGCATCTGAAAATGCAGGGGAAAAAGCAATGTGATACTTCAGAAAGTCATGTTCCCCACTATTTGATGGCTATTTTGAGGTATCCCCCCATTTTCAGAATGATGGTGATAGGTAGATGATGGTGTGTGTGTATATATATATATATATACACGAAATGAAACGGATAATGATAGTAATAGTAGTAACCAGATATCGGTGGCATCATCATCCATCCTATGCCATGGGAACCCAACCATAATGGCCATATAATCCTATGAAACTGGATTGACGACAATCCCCAATATCATTATATAATTCAACCATTGACCATGATGGATATATATATAATTGTGTATATATATAATTATATATAATTATATATAATTATATATATGTATGTATATATGTATGTATATCCCCATGATTATGATAGATGGATGAAAAATGAAATGTAAAGCATAATAGCATCAACATGCATCAGGATTTGTTTGACTTGAGAGTGACTTATGGGAGAATGGTCCTGCTGCAACGAGTCTGGATCGAAAAGTGACCTGTCAAATGCAGCTGCTTCTCCCAAGTAGACAGGAACAGCTATGAGATGACATTGGTTCAATTTTGTGGAAACATCACCGGAACCCATTGTTTGCCATCTTCCGGCATCTTTTGTCCCGGTGAATGCTCCTTTCAACCAATTCATCAATGATAAAATGCAACGTTGGCAAAGCCCATGCCACTATCCATCAACAAAGGTGGCTGACCGCCCCTTCATGCGGCTGAGATTTGGTCTGGATCAAGTCTGTGGTTGAGGTGCCAGCAGAACGAGGTGCCCAAAACACCTTCCGAAACAAATATCCATCAGACTGACAATGTTTTGATATGTTTGGATGATTTTACTATAGATTTTACATGGCCATGGCCGAAGTTGTGGTTTCCTTGGCATCCCACAACTCGATGTCCATGGCCAAAGGTCGTGGCTTCCCGGCTCCAGGTGCCATGATATCCTGCCATGGAAATCACTACGTTTGTTGGTTAAATCAGTGAAATTTCTGGGTTACCCTCTGGTAAACATACAAAAAGCTATTGAAAATTACCATTTATAGTGGATTTTCCCATTAAAAATGGTGGATCTTTCCATAGCTATGTAACAAATTACCAGAGGGTAAATCAGTGAAATCCCCAGGCCACCAGCGCGCCCAGTCACCGGCCAGGAGCCAAAGAATGCGCGCACGGACTTCTGGTGTGAGACGGAGCCTCAGAGGTGGCTAAACATCACTGGAGATGGCTGGAGATGTGACTTGATCTTAGCAAAATAGTCCATTTTAATGGTTGTTATATTATGTTATATTTATATATTGTTGTTGGATTATCATATTTATACCGATTACATGGAATTTGATATGTTAATCAAAAAAATAAGGGATTATATTATATATCATATATAACAATATTATGTATTATATATCCCATTAAATATCATAATATATTATCCCATATTGTTGGATTATCCCGAATATCATATTCTATCATGAAAATTGAAGTGCAACAAAGAGTAGAGGGGATGTCATTGCGGATGATCATCCCAATTGGGATGAACATACCCTCTGGTTATGTCAAAATAGCTATTGAAAATGGCCATAGAAATAGTGGATTTACCCATTAAAAATAGTGGATCTTTCCATAGCTATGTGGCTGTTTACCAGAGGGTAAAAGAAGAGATCTTAGCACCAAACAAGAATTTCTTGGTTGATGCAGTCACTCTACCCAAGTTACTGTGGCAGAATCAAACTCCACCATGCCATCCACTGCCTTCCCATGTCATACCAAATAGTCCCTATGCCTCGTTCATCCAGAACATAGACCCTCTCATGCCGAGTTGTATACTAGCTTGATGCACAAGTAAGTTAGAAAATGCTGGGCTGGAATGACATGGAATGACTACTTTATGCTGTTTCCCATTCTTGAAACTCAGTTACTTGCAGATGGTTAGTACAGACAGTTAGCTTAACTCCAAATGGGGAGCTGGAAAACTGGTTCGAGATAGGGGTTCCCCCCATCCGCAAGATCCGCGAGTCAGATCGTCAAAATGGCCAAGATCATCCAATACTGTCCTTGTGGTCTTTTTGAACCGTACCCATATACTTGGGGGTGCAGTTCCAGTTGCAGGTACAGTAGATATATAGCCATAGTTATAGAGGCTAGAGGGGCCCCATATCCCAAGATATCCCAAGTTGTGAGGCTTAAAATCCCAGGTTTCTACCCAGGTTTCTGATCCCAACTTCACCCATTTTGGAGGCCCAAACGGTTTCCCAAAAATTCCAAAAACAGCTCAGTGGCAGCTGCGAGTCATGCAATGCCGACCCTTTGGGTCTGGCACCTGGCTGGTGGTGGACCTACCCCTCTGAAAAATGATGGAGTGAAAGTCAGTTGGGATTATATCATATTGTATATATTTATATACTATTCCCAATATATGGGAAAAAAATGTTCCAAACCACCATATTATATTAATTATTCCCAATATATGGGAAAAAACATGTTCCAAACCACCAACCAGAATCTAATATATGATCTATGTGCACGGATTCTTCATGATTGTTCATTCCTAGCTTCCGGTGCAAATTTAATATCTTAGATTAGCCGCAGGTGTCGAGAATATCTATGTGACGGAAAATGTTCATGAAAGCCCTACTGTTTGGGATGGCAAAAGCCTGTCAGCCTGTCTGATGGATTCCCTTAAAGAAAAGTCTTGACACGCAGCCATAGAAACATGGCATATTTAATAGTTGTTTGTAACCCCAATAAAAACAATAATCCACCACTACTTTAGGCATTATTTTGCTTTTCTATCTTTTTGCAGAACAAACATGTGGCCGATCCAAGTTCCAGCAGACTTATCTGTCAAACTCCTTTTGGTCGACTGGCACAACGGCTCAAGAGCTACCACTCTCATACAGTCAAAATCAACTATTTCCACATCTTTCTTGAAAACAATCAGTTGCTCAACATTTATCATTTTATGTAGTTGGTCGATTTCTTTTGAACTGAAGAGCTGCCACAATATACCTGACACCAGCGCTGTAGAACTTTGTTTCAATGTTCCATTGTTGGATTCATTCAAGTAATTCATGTGGGTAAAACAATGATAAACCGATAAACCACCACATTTTTCATGGGTTTCAATCCCACCCATAAACATGGTGATGACTTGGGGATGGTGAACTCCTTCTCAGAAAACATATCCGATGAATCCCATCCCAATGTTAAACACCCTGATTAAAACCATGGCTTACCCTCTGGTAAACATACAAAAAGCTATTGAACATGGCCATAGAAATAGTGGATTTTCCCATTAAGAATGGTGATTTTCCATAGTTATGTTAGTTTACCAGAGGGTAGTATTGGATCTATTCATGAACTGAGCCCCTTGATGATAATAAATATTAGGGGGAAGGGATTAAATGATTACTCCATTTCCAATCAAAAAAACATCCCCGGAAAATCCCATGGAATCACCGTAAAATTCATCACCACAAAAAATCACCATAAAATTCATCGCCATAAATCACCAGTAAATCACCATCAAATCACCAAGAAACCTGACATTTTCAGCAAGTTGATCCCTGGTACCCCCAGCGACCTTCCTTCTGGCGTGGCTGGGCACAGTTCAAGGAGGCTCCCATGGGTGCGCAGCGCACAAAAGCCAACCCCAACCTGCGAATTCTGTGGTTTAGAAAGCCAACAAAAAACATAAAATAGAACGTGGTCGCTATTTTAGTAGGATGTGAAGTACTGACTGTTTGAGTATGTTTTTAATCTTGTTGGGGGTTACTATGCTGGTAAAGACAAGAGTTTCTATCTGTTTGGGGTTACCAAAAACATGATGTAGTCATTGGGGATCAGCATCCTGTCTGTAGCTCATAGGCAAGTGATAACTGTCATTGGGATGGCCATGAAGAATGCATCCACCAAGCAGCTGATAAAACACCAATCTTGGATAGTCTTGCCAAGATCTCCAAGGGGAAGTCTTTGACATTGTTTAAACAGTTTAAACCCCACAGAATGTGTGACTCTTCTTTTGTTTCTTGAGAAATCTCTCAAGACTTGCAGCAAAAATCACACCATGAGATTCCCGCTGGCATGCAGTTCTTTGACTGCCGCCAGCGCCCCCTCGAGCCAGTCATGTCACCACTTCTTCAGTATGGGAGCCTCCCGGTCTACAAAACGGCCAGCACTCTGGCACATTTCGACAAGATAGTAAGGCATTGGGGTCCTGGATGGGCTATTTATTGGTGCTCCGTATTGCCGGAGTCAACTTCACACCTGCCTACGTCGAACAAATACAAAGATTGCCAGATATCCTGAGTATCCATAGACTCGGCCAGCAACGAATCTGGATTTGTCATGATTTGTCCAGAATTATTGCACCCCAAAATCCAAAGCTTCATCATGTTTCCAGTAAAATTGCCAGGGAAATGTCCGGTTTTTGGAGCTCACTTCAAACCAACATCCAGCAGCCGTACCAGAATCCGACTTTTTTCCAGAGCCCGCCGGCGGTTCGACTGGTTCGACTGGTTCGACGAACTTGGACCTGTCTAACCAGTCCAGAGAGTTGCAAAAACCAGGCGCAACTCCCAAAAAATGGTGCCTGAACCTTGGCTCTTGGGCTGATCTAAATATATATATATATATGTGTGTGTGTGTGACAGTTGATTATATATAAAACAATAACATATTAACATATAATAACAATATATATATATACATAAGTACATGATAATAATATCATTTAACGTATGGACTCACTAATAGGGATGGTTGCCTTTGCGGGTCTTGAACCATTGAACTATGTAACAAGTGGGTATGTACCTTTGCACCATAGCCACCCACCTGAAGAATCCATACTTTCATAATGATGATTCTCCTCATGCAGCGTATCCCCGGGCCGAAAACGAAACCAGCTAGCTAGGCAACCAACGCCAACTATAAGGTCTTACTGAGAAACTGTCAACCACCACAAAGCCTTCTTGAGTCCCATTCCCATCCAGTTCTTGTGACTGAACTATTCGGGTCACCTCTTAAACAGACAAGGGGGCACAATACTATATATGGAATATAATATGTATATTATATATATATATGTATAATGTGTATACATATATATATATATACATACATATGTATAATGTGTATATATATATAGATATCCATTGATTTATATATATTTATATATCAAAAGCACTCAAAGTATCTCAAAGTACCAAGGTTTCAGAGGCCTTAAAAGAACTCATTCAGCGGGCGGGCGTTTCTGGGCTACGCCAATGCGAGTCCAGTCCCTTGGGGATTGGACCCGCTGCCCAAGCTCGGGCAGCGCATACCCCAGTGAGTGGGGACCTTTTCTGGTGATTCTTAGCATGAACCAGCCCATTTCTTAGCATACCCCATTCTTAGCAGTGGGGACCATTTTTGGGTCAGATGATCAATTTAATTTTGCTATATGTTGGTAAGATGTTAGTTCAATTTCATTCAAATTCATGTACTTTTGACCCATAGGATTGAAGTACATTGAAGTGAAGTTCAAGAGGAAAATGTCCTGGACTTGGCAGGGTATACGTTACATGCGGCACGGCTCCAGTTCGGAGGCTGTAGACTACAGGATCACGCGACAACAAGGCACGCCATGCCCCGCGGAAACCGGAAGGCCGGAAGGTAATTGCGAGGATCGAACCTCACCTTTTGGTTTCTTGAATTAGTGTCTTAATATTTCCATCTTAGTGTCTTAATACTAACCATCCAGGTTGGTTTCTTGAATTTTGATCCCAGGATCCACTGGACCGGTGATGGACACATCTGTGGAGCATTTTTGGACACCTCATCTCTTGGGACCGTGAACTTCCCGGGGATTGTAACGGATGAATAGTTCTTGCCTCCAAGACTCAATGTGGGACACAGTTGTACATACAATATGTACATAATATACATATAGTGGAAAGCTACTGAAGTTGCAATTTTTTTTGGGACTCCCAAATTATTCTATTTTCATAAATCAGTGTTGATGCTGTTTTCCCATTTTTCCAGTGACTATGACTATATCGTACCCCCTTTTCTACTGGAAATCCAGTGGTGCCAACGGATCCCCCGGTCCATCTCATCACCGAAAAGAAACGCAAGTTTTTAGGCGCAAGAATGAAGGTTTCAGTAAGGATTCAGCGTTTTAGAATATGTATCTGAATAATTCTGAATATAGATATATCATGATATATCTGAATAATCTAAACGCCAGTCTTCAAGTTTAATGTGAGTTTTGGATAACTTTGGATTGTGTCAATCCATATGAGAATCGTAGCAATGGAAGTAGTGGTAGATTGGGATTTAGGGGTTGCTTCCAGCAATCAACCGCCCGGTGGGCATTTTCGATGGACTTTGCAAGTCTGTTTAGGTACCTTCATAATCTGGTTGGTGGTTGACCTATCCCTCTTAAAAATATGATGAACGTCAGTTGAGATGATGACATTCTCAACTGAATGGAAAGTCATAATCCATTCATGTTCCAAACCACCCACCAGTAAATGGGTCTGTCTGAATTTGATCCTTTGATTCATCAATTGATGAATTCATCATTCTCCTGAAGCTGCCAGCTTACTGGGCCAAAAACGCCAAAAATCTTACCATCCGATCTTCACGGCGTCAGGTCTCATCTTACTCCGATGGTCATGTACCAAATGAGAAAGACCTGCAGAGTTCCACGAAAAATCCCTGGATGTCGGTGACAGGCGCGTTCGAATACATTTACAATCATTTACAACTAGGATTATCCCCTTTATAACAAGGGCTATCACATTTCTGACTACAATTCTCCTATGTACAATTAAGTTTTCAGATGGATTTTCCAACGTTTCCACCCTGGCCGGCGATTGAGTGACAATGAAGTTTTGCCTCAAAGGAGAGCTTGCCCAGGCGGCCTTTGTCTGCCTGAAGAGGACGCTTCTATGGTTGGTGTTTCATGGATTTTCATGGGTTTCACCATCAAAAACGGAGATCATCAAAATGGCTGTTTACTATTGTTATCTATTGTTTAACCGTCACAAACTGGGGTTTAGCCATCAAAATCATAGAATTGGTGGTTTAACATGGTTTTATCATCCTAAATTGTGTTTTTTGTGGTATTTTGGTGAGGAATAAGGCCAATACAATATCAAATACCCCAAAAGAACATTCATGCTTTGGGGGACCATATGATCCATGTGGGGATCATATGAAAATGATAGAGGCATGGGATTCTTCGCAAAATTCCATGTTTCAACCCTCACCCTCATGGCGAATTTCGTCGTGAAAGTCATCGGGTGGAGAGCGTGGGATGGCTTGGAAGGTTTACTCATCGTGATGGGGCCCAACTCATTCAGACTCCCAGTGATATGATGTGATATGCCAAGATTCCGTAGCCGAAAATAATATCTAGTTTCTTTCCGAATATACCCAACCATCATAGAATACCAGCAGACCCAGGTCCGGGTATGAAGACTGGTGTGTGCTACCCAAAAATACTTGGTCGCTAGCCCTAGTCACTTTTCACACAGTGTTCCGTCACAGAAGATGCCGTAGTGGATGGTTGCACCCGCAAAAACGATGTGTGCTTTATCCCCAAGATTTGTTCCACATTATCACTGGCCTCACTGGCCGAAGCGTGAGATATCTTGACAAAATTGCGTGCTTTCCCAAAACACCAAGTTTCTGGGACGAGTCAGCTAGAATCTTGCTTTGGAATCCCCTTAAAACTGTTTTTTTTTAAATGATTTGTCATCATGAAATTTGAATTTGAGTCACAGGTAGTACCCTCCAGTAAATTAACATAGACCCTGCCAGATAGGGCACGGAAGACAAGTTTCCACTCTAAATTGGTGATTTTCAGGGTAACTTAACCATCCGATTCTCCGCCTCCAGCCAAAATTGCCGAAAGCGGGTCGCTGGGATGTCTTCCCTGAGGAGGTAGTCAAAACAGTTGACCAATAGCCAGCTATTGGATCATCTTAAATGGATATCGATGGTTAAAATCAATGGTTAATATCAATGGATATAAGGGTATCAAATGGTTTCAGTAATATCAATGGATCATGAATGAATATCAGTGGTTAAAATACGAAATACTCGTAGAGATACAACCAAAAATAACGTTTTGGGCAACCCAGAACAGGCAAGAGATATCAAATAACTGGCCATGGTCATCGTTCTGTTTCAATCGTCTGGATGGCAAGGCTCATGTAGAATTCGATGTTTGGTCTTCCCCATTCCTGCCATTGTTCATAATACAGTACAGCCATTTTTTGAGAGGTATAAAGAGTAATCATAAAAGAGGGTTTACCAGTAATCTCTGTTAGGTGCACATGATTTAACATATTAAACAAGAAAACTCCGTTAACATCTGCTGTTGTCTCAGAATTTGAAATCCCGAAATTCCATGGTTTAAACTTGATCTCCCCCATTGAAATACATCAAAAAAGCTAATTATAAGATTGATCAAAAGGCCATAAATCTATGTCCCTTATCCATAAAAGGCATCATGTATGGAAATTAGAGATCCAACACCTGATATATCCAGAAATTCAGCCACCAATTTTTCAATTCCATGGCATAAACCCTCCATTTTGAAACCAACAAATGGTCCGCATCCACTCGACTCCACCCTCCGAGAACCGCCGGTTCCGCCGCACATGTCGCAATTCCAAAGGTTGGCCACGCAGCTTCGAAACTCGCCCTCCTCGATGAAGCCATTCCTGGACCATTGGGAGATTCTGCAAAAAACCTATGGGGGAAATCATCGATAAATGGGGATGTGAACATATTTTGGGATTGTTTATTGGATATTTAATGGGGATGTTAATATATTTTGAACTATCATGGGATAGAATGGAAGTCATCAATGGGATACTATTGGATGATATATTGGGATAATGAACAAGATGGAGTACAATGGTTATACCTCCAAATTACAATTCTGTTGTCATGATTACAATGGCTATACTATTGGATTCTTAAATGATAAGCCTACACATTCTTTAATCGGTTCTTCAATGATTCAAGGACATTCTCAGACTTTGATACATGTTGGACCACTCGTTTAATTTTATCGTGTTCAACAATCTGAAATACCCTCTGGTAATTTAACATAGCTATTGAACATGACCCAGTCGAAATAGTTGATTTAATCGATTTCCCCGTGAAAAATGGTGGATCTTTCCATCGTTTTTTGTATGTTTACCAGAGGGTAACTATCCAATCATTTGTCAATCCTTGGGAGATGGTTCTTGATGGACTGGAGACCATCAATTTTTGTTGAGAGGGAAAAAAAATCATCGGAAAAGAATGGATGGATAGACCACCTTTAATAGATACGGTATAATACACATCATATGTATAATATGCAATATATGTGTAATGTGTATATATAGATATACATACATACATATACATACAGATACATACATATATATATATATACATACATATACATTATTGTTTGATTATATCATATAATATCGTATAAAATAATATAACATAAAATAATACAATATAATATAACATTATATAACATAATGTAATATAATAGTATATTATATTATCCTATACTATACTATATTATATTGTATTATATTGTATTGTATTTGTATGTATATATATATATACACATTATGTATAAATTAATTATGTCCTTCTTGTATCATCTCAGAAAGGGATGAAACCTTCAAAGTCAGCCACCAAGTCCGTCCCAAAATTTCACCGTCCGTCCTATTGCTGTCGCTGCTCATGAAGGTCTTGTAGCATTTTTCAACCTGGATAAACATGCCAAGATATGCCAAGATATGCCAAGATATGCCAAGATATGCCAAGATATGCCAAGATATGCCAAGATATGCCAAGATATGCCAAGATATGCCAAGATATGCCAAGATATGCCAAGATACGCCAAGATACGCCAAGATACGCCAAGATACGCCAAGATACGCCAAGATACGCCGAGATACGCCGAGATACGCCGAGATACGCCAAGATACGCCAAGATACGCCAAGATACGCCAAGATACGCCAAGATACGCCAAGATACGCCAAGATACGCCAAGATACGCCAAGATACGCCAAGATACGCCAAGATACGCCAAGATACGCCAAGATACGCCAAGATACGGCAAGATACGGCAAGATACGGCAAGATACGGCAAGATACGGCAAGATACGGCAAGATACGGCAAGATACGGCAAGATACGGCAAGATACGGCAAGATATGCCAAGATATGCCAAGATATGCCAAGATATGCCAAGATATGCCAAGATATGCCAAGATATGCCAAGATATGCCAAGATATGCCAAGATATGCCAAGATATGCCAAGATATGCCAAGATATGCCAAGATATGCCAAGATATGCCAAGATATGCCAAGATTTTCCAAGATATGCCAAGATATGCCAAGATATGCCAAGATATGCCAATGCCAGTCTTTGACTGGCTGATTTTTTGGCCCGGGATTCGCAGTCCTGTGCTGGCCATCTTTTGGTTCATCTGGCCATCAGTGTGTCACCCCATCCGAAATCCCTTTCATATGTACATCCATCTCCATAGTTAAATATGGGGATGGGTCAAAACCCTGGTACCTAGTGAACCCCAAAATAGCTGGTAAATGGATGTTCATCCCACTAAAAATGTATCTATAGGTATTGACCCATACCCATATCATCAATAATAGTAGCTACGACAGTCCAGCCCTTTATTCCAAATGATCAAAGACCCCGTGCTGGGAATCTGCTCGGAATCTGCCTGGTCCAGGGGCAAGTTGAATTTGCGGGCCAATTCCCGCATGTATCGCTCCTGCGGCTCGGGAGATCTCCCAATGGATTTCAGATCATCGTCCCCAGTATGATTTAACATAATGTGGGGAAAACAATGCCATAAACATCCATAAACCATCTCCAAGTCATCACCATTTTTATGGGTGGTATAAACATTATAAACCATCAAAACTGGGGTGGATTATTATTGTTTTACCCACATTAAAACAAATCAAGCAAACATTTTTTCGTGTTGTCACATTGTATCTGATATGCCTACTCTTCTGTGAGTGAAATCCTGATCTTGTGGTGGTCAAAACTGCCATCTGCCTAACTGCTTGTGTCTATACCATGATTTGTGGCGGGTCGCGGGTTGTATCAATTCATGACTGTTCATATATATATATATATTATAAATATAATTATAATATATATATATATGTTATACATATTATACATATTGTATATTATATTAATTATATACATATATGTATTCCTATATTTCTTGCTGCTTGAAATCCCAAGGTCTTCATCTTTCTTCAAAAAACCACTCGGTTTGATGTCCATCGGCCGAAGCCCTGCCGCCTGGGGATCGTTCACCACCAGCTCTTCGGTAAACAAATGCTCCGTGGACCTGGTTGTACAGCTATGGTGGAGGGGAAAAAATCTAAATTATGTGCGAAAAAAAAATATAGCATATAAGCATATGTATATATAATTGTATATATTATATATCATTGTATATATTATATATAATTGTATATACTATATATAATTGTATAAATTATATATAATTGTATATATTATACACAATTGGAAAACATATATATAATTGTGTACATGTATATGTATATATGTATGTATATTTACATATACATATTCATTTATTTATAGTTATGAGATGTTATGAGTAGTTATGTGTATCTACAGTATATGTATATGTGTGTATTGCATGCACACATGCACATGCATGCACATTTCTTATGACATTGGACACTTGACTCAAAGCTGGCGGAAAAAACCTATCTGTTCATGGTGAAATCCCACGTGAAATCCGGTGAAATCCCAATACTGGTTCAATCTCATATTTTTTTGGTGAAATAACAATCATTTGGGTGGAATTTCAATCCCAATCATGTTGTTGTTTCAATCCCTCCGGTGGTCAAATCACCATTTTTCCTTGGTCAAATCACCAGTTTTCTTGGTTAAAATCACGATTGTTTCTTGGTCAAAAAATCACCAGGTTTCTTGGTTAATGTAAAGAAAGCATCGATGTTAGGACGTCCCAAATTGGGGTCCCAGCCAAAGGAGGAACTCCTCAAAGTTGATCTCTGAGTCGTTGTCCTTGTCCGCCTGTGACTTGGGTCATCATCCAACCGTTGGTCCCCCATGGTCATTGCTGAGATCAACTTATTATATATCTATATATATATTATATATATATATATGTGAATATATGATTATCTATGTACAATATTGTATGTTATGCATATCATCATCTCTCACGGATCATTTCACTGCTAAATCTCCAACTCTATTGGCTAGTTCAGATCGAAAAATCACATTCACATGCCGCATGGGTTGCGTTCCATCCATCGGAAGTTTTGGTCATTCCCAGGACCAGCTTTTCATTTGTGAATCGCTGTGTCAGGCACCTTGCTCCAGTTCAAATGTAGCAAGTGGTATGGGGTTGCTTCATCCGGAGCAATGTTGCAGCGATCGCGAATGGCCTGGACGGCGAAAATGGCCCGAAATGGCGACATCGTTGAAGGGACCAGTGAGTTGTTTGGCTATGTTTGGCTGAATGATTTACCAAATATGTCCAGTATAGTATATATACATATATGTATTATATATTATATATTATATTATGTAAATATATTGATGATAGTTAAAGAGACCTTGAATATTGATGATCTAGCCCTGGCGAGACGACCAGTAAATGAGGTGTGAAGCACTTGGCATCCATGGGGTGTTGTCTAAGACTGGGCACTAAGAATTCAAGAAGTCGAAAGTCCTCCTGGAGAAAAGAGTTTTAGTGAGTACAGACCAGAAAAATATGCGGAAAGTAAAGGTGAAACCCAAGAGTTCCATAAGAATGAGTTAAACATCTATGAACATGTGCGCGGACATAATCTTCCAAGCACATAATGTGCGCGGAGAGTATCCTGGCATTTTTTCCCGGGAGTCCCCCGTTCAAAAAACCCAGCTGGGTTTCACCTGTTCAAACTCGTTCAAGGACAGCCGGCCATCACCGTTCTTGTCCAAAGACAGAAACTCCTTTCACAAAGCTGGCAGATTTCAGGCGAAAGGCGAAACACAAAAAGTGTATGACGGTCATGAAAAAAAAAAATACCTTTTTTGAAAGCCCATGAAAACACTGGAAACAAAGGCTGTGTGCGGCTAATCTTAGATACCAACCGCAATCGAAACTTTGTTTCCAGCAGGCGTTGAATTGTGCCCTCATCAACGTGGCAATCACAGTAATTCAGCCATTGTATAAAATAGTCACCTAGTTGGTTAGCCCTGATCAGTTCATCTGTGGCTTGCCAAGAAGAAACCAAACCTTTGATCCAAATCCACATACCCTCAAAAAAAATCCAGTTGACTAACCAATAGATGCCAGGAATAGTTCATGTGGTTCATGTGGTAGATTCATAGATACCCAGATACCTAGACCCCGCACAGGACAAACATCCTCCAATGCATGTCGCACGATGGGTACTGTGAACCTCGGATTGCAGATTGGGTGAGTGGCAAAACAAATGGGGGTCTAAGCCACAAAAAGGGCACCAATGGGGATGTAAGCAACAAAACAATGGCAAGTCAAGTAAGCAAAATGGAGGATTCACCAACCAACAAGACATGGAGATGTTTTGCAACGAAAGTGGGAAGGTGCTTAAAACATGTTGCACACAAAAGAGACCGGCCGCAAAAATGAGGCGTTTGCAATTCTCAAGTCCTACGATTTTCACCCAAACGGACTTGATACAATCACTGAAACATGGCCCGATCTTGACGAATCCCTCAAGATTTGTTACCCTCTGGTAAACTAACATAGCTATTAAACATGGCCATTTATAGTGAGTTTTCCCATTAAAAATGGTGATTTTCCATAGTTATGTTAAATTACCAGAGGGTACTGTGTCAAGATCTCTGCAAGATTTCACCCAACCTCAGCTCATGGAGACTTAACAGTATAGATTTAAAGAAGTCTTTTGGCCAAACTTCCACTGCGAATTAAAGGTTGGCTATCAACGATTCACATTATACACAACTGAGAAGTTTTTTTTTAGTGGGTGAATCAATTCGGTTCAGTTACCAAAAATAACCATTATTGATGTGACTTTTCATTAGAACTTAATGATCTTAATGGATTTACCCTCTGGTAAACAAACATAACTATGGAAATCACAATTTTTAATGGGTAAATCAACGAACTAAATGGCAATTTTCAATAGCTATGGGTAAATTTTAATAGTCATTTGGGGCGTGTTCCCGTGGGTTCCCAATCATCATTCATCGTCACATCAGTGAGGTCGTCGCTTTCCATAACCACTGGAGATTTCACCATTTACTTCGATGAGTTTCCAATATAACAATAGCTATATATATATCAGATTATATATAATATATATATATATTATATCATATATATATACATATATCATAATGTAAATTATATTTATTATATTATATATATATATGTATGATACTATATATATATCATAATGTATATATATATTACATATATTACATATATTATAATATAATATATATATATTATTTTATATATATACATATCATGTCATATATATATATATATTCATATAATATGTATTATCATATATATATTATATTATATTATATTATATTATATTATATTTTAAATTATATTATTTTTTATTTATTTTGTTTTATTTTATATTATATTATATCATATTATATTATATTATATTATATACATATATATATATATTATTATATATATATCATAATATATAACATATAATATTACTAATACTATTTTATATCTATATTATATTATAATATATTCCTAATTATACGTATATATATTCATGAAATCACATGCCAATTGAGTTCGGAGATTTCCCAGCCATGTTTGATAACCCCTTGAACCTCCAGACTCCAGACTCTGGCTTCCCAGCCAGGGATCTTCTGACAAAGGACCGGTGTTTCTTGGCTAGTTCACTACATGTGGCGAAGCTCAACCTGAGCGTTTCTGGGTGGCTTTGAGGGATATGTTAGAGAGGTCATCGCGGTTTCTTACCATCAAGTACAATCAAACATGCAGAGTTTTCCGCAGATTTCCCATGAGCCACGGATGGGAACTGGCAAATCTATGTTTTGCGATGGTTCATCGAATCCGTTGTAGCTGATGTTCAGCCCTGGAGGGATCCCTGAAATTGCACGCATCGACGCATTGGTGTGGATTGGTTACACTTCGCAGCATCTGTCGAAACCGCAGGGGACATCCACACACACACACCATGTAGATGTGTGTCCCCTTTCTGGAGATGGAATTAGGGCAACTGTCAGTGTCTTTCAGTATTTTATACTGGGGCGCACAGATAGTGGCTGGGTGAGGTATTTGCAGCAGGGTACCCTCTGGTAATTTAACATAGCTAGTGAAAATTGCCATTGGGTTCGTTATAGTTCGTTGACTTACCCATTAAATCCCATGAATAATTGGTGATGTTCTATAGTTTTGTGTTAGTTTCCCAGAGGGTAACCAAATTTTAATTGGGATATCAATGATATCAACATCAACATACATCAACTCTATTTTTACCCATTAATAATGGTGATTAATAGTGATTAACCATAAGGCTAGAGAGAATGATTCTGATGTTCTTCCCGACCGCCCAGGGCTACTTGGGATCCAAACTGACGACCATGTCGCTCGCCATCGTCTTCTAGGCGGTCACCGTGGGTTGAACATGAAAATTCATAACCGTGCCCTGGCTTGTTTAGGTCACTGAGGGCAGATAACTCCAGTGTTTTAAGTTAAAATGAGAGAAATATATAGAAATATATCTTTAGGATTTGTTTTACCACTTCAGCCAAGATCTGTGGGCTCCAAACTTGCAAGCCCTGGATGTTTTACCACCCAAATCTCTGGTTTCGAGTGAATTTCTGGGTCAGATGGAAATCTGCCGTGTTTTCCCGGCCGGCCTACGTGCAAAGCTTCCTGCTGTCGCACCCTCAAGATGTCGCAGGATGTCAAGAAAAATGGAGACAAAATGCCAACAAAGACTGAAAGATCAGAAGTTGAAGCAAAAAATGAATGTTTAAGGATGTTCAAGGATCAGTTACCCTCTGGTAAACTAACATAACTATGGAAAATCACAATTTTGAGTGGGAAAATCCACTATAAATGGCCATTTTCAATAGCTGTTTGTATGTTTACCAGAGGGTATAGCAAACAATGAAGTCCCAAGTCCCAAGGCGCAAAAATTTATACAGTAGAACCATCAAGAATGGGGAGTCACGCAACAAAGATGGGGAAATGACATGAACTGACCACAGCACGAAAAGATAAGCTTCGGCCGCTGCATTCAGAAATCACCGCCCATGGGGGCGACAAGTATGGGAGTCTGATAAATTGGAAACCTCAACAGTCTAGAAAAAACATCAAAAAACCGTCTATTGGGAAAAGCCTAGCGAGCTGTTCACGTTCTCCACTCCAATGCTGGAGTTCACAGATGTGTATACGAGCGGCTGCTCAATTTACAGCAAGTCCTTCTGTTTGCTGACAATCAGTTGCCCACAATTGGAGTGCAAGCCTGTCTCCCAAACATCTAAACGCCATACGTACCCAGCCAAAATGAATCAAGATGAACTCATTCCAAACTTTGTGTCGATATCTTAAAAAAAGACCTGAACACCCCCAAAACTCATCAGTTTGAAAACTACCCTCGGAATTTTAAGGGACGTATGCATAGATTTCATTAGATTTCCATACTCACTCTCTTCCTAGCTTCGAAGGCAAGCCATCAAACCGTGCAATCCAAGGATTTCAAGGTCTTGTCAATGTCCAATCATCCACCACCGAAAAAAGAATGAACTGTTCCTATAACTAGGAACTGATATGAACATTACATGCGGAAATCCTCCCTGAAAATCTCTCAAACTTCACCATCTTCACTCCGGGTTCAGCCGCCATTCCCCCCGGGTCCCGTGCATGCGAGGGTTCTTCTTGGAGAACAAGGTGGTCCTCCTGGCCCACATGCGCGCAGAAAATGGGCTGACCAAGGGGAGATAATAGAACAAATAAATTTACAGGCTTGCTCCCAACACCCAGGATACGTTTGGGTGGTAATTTGAATTGGGTGAATATATAAATAAAAAATACGAAAATATAGTAAAATAATCATTTCGACCTGCAAAGTGGCTATCTTTTACCTAGAATCGGCTGGAGCAACCCTGATCAACAGGTGTTTCTATTGGTTCAACAGGAAAACAACAAATCGAGCATGTAGAACACCGTTATCCTCGATGGCTAGTCAATAACAAGTCTGTTCAAAGATATCTGATATTCCAAGCATGGCTAATGCATTTACTAGGTTCGATGACAACCCAAGAGAGGGCTGGACTAGATCCATGTAACGCGCTTGGGGAACAGTGACAGTCCCAGTGAAATGATTAATGGTTTCCCCTGGGTGACAATGGGCCCCCTTGGGGTCGGGCCAAGATTGGCGTGCGAACGGCTGGTGGGCAGTTAAAAAAACAAGCCGTTCCGATGTTCCAATCATCACAGGCCCCTCAAACCATTACAATGGCGACTTTCTGAGCAGCGAAGCCAATGCAGGACAAGCGTAGGTCGAGCCGTTTAAGCTGGCAAGAGTCTATATAATGATCATGGGTGTAGTCAACTGCACACGGGATTTAAAATCAGATTGGGTATGGTTCAGATTGGGTATGGTTCAACAAATGTTTAAAAAGAATATTGACAAGGGCGCAGAAGCCTTCGAATATCGTTGGATGGGATCCAATAGGAAAATCTTCGTGAGTTTTTGGCCCACTCGGCCCATTCCATCAATTCTTTTCATGTAAAAAAAAACAAACTAAGATGAAACGTACCAAAAACCTGTTTAGACCCGCCGAACAGGACATCTCCATCAGAAAAGTGGAGGTTCCGGTCGGCCAGACTCAATGATCATGGCCCCATCATGGGTTTCCAAAGGTGCCCCCTTCCAAGGCACCCTTTTCCGAAAAACGAGCAGGGGTTCGCCCCTTCACTATCCTTCACTTGGTTCTTTAAAAGAAAAATCAAAAAGAACAAATCTGTTTCAACAAAAATCAAGGAAAGTCATCACTTATCTCACTTGGGTGAAGGTTGTGTTACCTTATTGTTACCTTATTGTTACCTTATTCTCCTTGGATTCCCATTTTTTCACACCGTGAAAACCCCTCGGCCCCTCAGCTCGGCCTCGGAACGGCGGACTCGCGAGGACCTCAAAAGGGCCGGTGGGTTCCACGGTGGGTTCGACGGTGGGTTCCACAAAAATGGCCTCACCAAAAGTGCCCACGGGTCAACCCTGGCAATTTCAGAGAACTACCAATTTTTCGGCCGATTTTTCATGACCAGGTTGCCTCGAAAAATGTCTTTCAAAAAGTCTCCGAGTATCCAACTGAAGCTGATGAATCGAAAAATCAGCTGATTCTGAGGCTTTTGGTGGCGACCTTTGGATACCTTTGGATTCGTGAAATTCCGGTCCAAGAGGCAGACATTGCCAAAACTATCCAAACCATCCGCAAGTGTACCGGGTACTCGAAACAAATTGATCAAAATGTCCCAAAAATTAATCTCATTTAAAGAAACTGTTTAATTCGTGTTGAACCTGACCCTGGTCTGAATGATTAAACACCCTGACCGGCACCAAGAGCCCAGCGCTTCATCCGTGAATCCTGGCACCCAGGGCGGGGATGATGGCGGTGAACAACATCTTCCCGGCGTCAGATGCGATGTCTTGCTATTGCGATACAAGGCTATGTTCAAGCCTTCACTTCGTCAAACTGTCAAACACATTCGTTATGTGCGGGATTGTGCGGGTAGCAATTCGCAACTTCTTGACAAATCCAAGAGAATGAGAGTCTAGAAATGCGTGTTGTCGCTCGGCCTGCCGGCGCAAAGTAAAGATACTGTGGAGAAATGCTAAATCATGCTAAATCCAAGTTCCAAACTTCACGTGATTGGAACTGGCAAACCTGATATTTCAATGGTAAAGATGCTATTTCAGGCAAATCTTACAGCACAATACATGTCACTGAATTTGGAGGCAGTTATATAACCATATACAGTAAGCCACAGATGATCTCTTGCTTTTTGCGGTTAACGTGAGCTTAGCCCAACCCATCTTTAGCTGGATCAACTCAAACCCACAGCCCGCCTCCATGTTTGCTGAGCTATTCATCACAGACGCTGCATCCTTGGGAACAAGCAGTTGACTCAGTTGCTGCATGACTGGGGATGTTAGTGTCCAGTCTGATGAGTTTGCACTATCTTCACACCATAGATTGCCGATGTAAGCTTTGCTAGCTCCAAATGTGACTTGTCTGAAGGATGTTTACCTTCATCCCATTGACACAAAAAAGGCACCCATCAGCCACGGTTCTGGCAGGGAAGGGCTGGCCACCAATGTCTCACCATTGCTCTTATCTTTGCAAAAAAGACTTCGGCAGGAGAGGAATCTCAGACCTGTCCAACCTTTCCAAATTCAAATCAGCACAATTTAGCCGTGGGTCCATGGAAATTTGAAAACTCAGTGTACTTCCATGATGCAAGATTATTCCCCAATCTGCTTGGGTAGAATCCTGGGGCTGGCAGTTTTCTCTTGATGATCCCTTAACCAAACAGGGTCACTCTTGGATGAACCCTGGATCATCTGACCTTTTTTTCGGACATCTTGCCGTCCACATTTTTCTTAGATGGCAGGGCTCAGGGCGGGTGGATCTCCGGGCAACTGATCAGGGCTCAGTTCATTGATGGCCAGTCAGGACCAACGCCCCCAAAACTGGGCTCCCCAAACTGCATCGGACACGAAGCCTAGTCCATCCGAAAAAGTACGAAAATCATCGGCAAATGAGGCCCCTGATCTTTCATTGCAGAGGATATTGAAGGAGTTAATCACAATCTATATTGGTCCCAGTGCCAGAACCGATTCACAATCGTTTGCAATTAGCACTGGATGAGCCATCCCCCCTCAACTTTTTGGCAGGCTGAATGGGCAACCCCATCCCCCCTAAGAAAAAAAAAAACGGGAACCTTGTGGAATGTATTGAAGCTGTTCATGCTGAGCCCCATAGGGGGATCCCAATGCCCTCGTTTCAAGGCCACCACACCTTTGCCAAAGCGCGCCTGGAGGGCTGTTGTCATCTTGAGACAGCAGTCCTTCTTAAAGTATCTTAAAGTCCTCTGGGGGTCAGTCATGCTGTGGATGGAAAAAATCCAAGAAACCACCTATCGGATGGTTGAACCATGTTGAACCCTATAGTGGGATAAACCACAGATCAACTGGTGCAGGATTTCGCACCGAAAACTTGTAAAACCGAGGCTGCGACATCTTCCTCCTGTCGAAGGCAAAAAACTGACCCCAGTTTTGGACATGTCAAATATAAAGAACCCAAGAATGATTTTGGAACGGTCATCCCCACTACATAAGTGTCAATGGCTTGATTTTACAGTAAGGGTTTCTGATGAAAATAATGTTTGTTCTACCATGAACACAGTATAAGATGAAACAGTTTTTCCCGTGAGTCTAGCATCATAGATACTGTAGATATTCAATTTTTCATATTTATAGAGATATTTTGGTGTACATACTGAATTGTCTTGGTACCCCGAATTTGATCTCATCCAAGCTGTCGAAAATTGTGGCATTTTGGCATAGCTAGTTTAAGACAAAGCTGCATAAAGTAGGGTAAAATATAGATGGTATACATAAATATCCATGAATATACAGGATGGTAAAATATCCATAAATATACAGGATGGTTTACTGGTTGTAAATATTACGTAATACATGACCCCCCTTGACAATTAGACCCATACCCGATTAAGAAAAAATTCTTTGCTGGCGTATCCCAAAAATCCCTGAGAATGACAGCGAATCGCCAAAATCAGGGATTATCCTAGACAACTACATCTGCATATGCAAACCTCATTCTTCCTTGATGACATTCCAATTCCTATGGGCATAGATACTAGCCATATGTCAATCTGCAGTGGCTCAATCCAATTGACCCCGTCCCATTTACAAGTTATGATTAAATATGTATATATGTATATATGTCTATGTATGTATGTATGTATGTATGTATGTATGGATGGATGGATGGATGGATGGATGGATGCATGGATGGATGGATGCATGTATGCATGTATGCATGTATGCATGTATGCAATGTATGCAATGTATGCAATGTATGCAATGTATGCAATGTATGCAATGTATGCAATGTATGCAATGTATGCCATGTATGCCATGTATGCAATGTATGCCATGTATGCCATGTATGCCATGTATGCATGTATGCATGTATGCATGTATGCATGTATGCATGTATGCATGTATGCATGTATGCATGTATGCATGTATGCATGGTATGTATGGTATGTATGGTATGTATGGTATGTATGGTATGTATGGTATGTATGGTATGTATGTATGGTATGGTATGGTAATGGTATGGTATGGTATGGTATGGTATGGTATGGTATGGTATGTATGTAGGTAGGTAGGTATGTATAGTATATAGTATATAGTATATAGTATATAGTATATAGTATATAGTATATAGTATATAGTATATAGTATATAGTATATAGTATATAGTATTACCAACGAAGCAGGCAAGTATAATCACTCGTTCATAACCCTTTCATAACCCACCAGCCGCTATTGATCAATTATATTCCCGTTCTTTATGCTTAAACCCCCAATCATTGCTGGTTAAATCGCATTGAAATCCCATGGAAATCCCCTGGGTTTTCCTGGATAGATAGATCCCCATGAAATCATCATTCTTGGTCCCACCCACTACAACTCCCGTCCTTTTCTCCTTGAAAACTGATATATTTTGACCTATATCCAGATCCGAAGCCTACCCGAAGCCCAAAGGGGGCCTCGAAGCCTTTGCCTGGTGCCAGGTGGAAGGTGTTGGGAAAGGTAGTGATTTTTTTAATGAGTTCTTGAGTAGTTTATACCATGTGGTGAATTAACAAGAAGGTGATTGAACCGAGAAAATTTGCGGGTGGATCAGCAAAAGTTCTGATCTCATCCACACAAATTGCGGGTTCCACCTTGAAATGTACCCCAGGTATGGCAAACAAATGCGGAGAACACCAAACATACTAGGGATATGAGAGGGAATCATGTGATAAAAACCAACACTTTTGGATATGATGTTGCCTCAAAAAAAAACAAAATCGGAATAACCTTCAAATGGTTCACATAGTCAAAACCATCCGATTTTGATGACAATAAACATATAATTATCATATTATCATATAATGATAGACTTATAGTGACTTATAGGTGGTGTTGCCTCGAAATGTGGGATTCCGGCCAGAAAATTGCAATCTATATGGTGGGGAAAATGACGATAAGCCATGTGGTTTTAGAGGTCAATAGTTTAATGAGGTTTTATGCGAAGGCTTTTGAAATGTTGCAACTCGGTATATAGAAAAATTGGACACAAAGAAATCATGAGGAAAATTGTGACACCGGAGTAGCAGATTGCGTAACTAACCCAGTGGGTTCATGAATTGTGTGTAACAGAAAACCACCACATGCAATAAACACTATAAGGTGACCCTTTCAGTAATGATTATGTAAATGCAGAAATCCAGGGTCAGTGACTTCAAATGAAGGCATGAAAAGATCACTTTGAATAGCCCCGGGATTACCATTTCTAGGAGGTGGTCAATGGCTATCGCTTTTGTGAGTTTCAACCCAAATCAGACTACCAAGCAAGGCAAGGGGGGCCCCCGGAGTGATGTTTCCAACAGGTTTTGGAGTTATGTCTACCAACATATCGAATCTAGGGGCCCCAGCTTGTACAGAGTCTTCAAAATTGATCAATGTGCAAATTATCACCTCCAACAGGTGTTTGACACCATCCATCGAGGATGATTTCATCAGATTTTCCTGTTGACTTATGGCCAATCTTAGATACCCTGCAAAAGGCCGTTTTCTTTGGGCTGGTGAGTAATTATAGATCCACGTGGCTAAGAGATAAACATATACACTCTACTATATGAAGATTACTGAAGTACTCATCCAAAGTTTCCCCAAAAATCGGGAACGGGGCCTCTCCAACCTGCAACTTACCTCCCCGGGCCTCCTTGACTCCTCATGGACTCGCTCCGTCTCAGAACCGATTGCCTGGGCCCCCAAGAAACCCTCATGGCAATGATATGCCCATGTCCAATAGGTATAATGTGAGTAAAACAAGAATAAACCATCCCCAAAATCACCATAAATAGATATAAATAGGTGGTATAAACCATTCCCAGATGGGTGGGTGTTTCTTGTTTTACCCACATTAGGTAAATCATCTGCTTCGACTTGACCACCAATGACCCCATGGCGACAAAAAAAAAAAGGGTCCACTGACCTGCCTCTCTCGGGGAAGATGTGTCTCATGGAGCTCCGGATCTTCATGATACACTTCACGTTTCCTCGTAGCACTGAGCCAGGCTACCAAAAACATAGATAAATCATGATAAATTGAAGAAAATAGAGTTTGGTAAATTGAACGAATTTGACAAAGAAAAATCGGGATGTGATAGGATACATTGGGATATGGGATAAACAACCTGCTCAGAGACTGTTTTAAATACGCGCCTGCCTGTTACAGTAAACATGGGGGGTATGTCTGATCTATGGAATCTCATAGGATATCATGGGATTGATACCCACCGAGGCGCTGATGAAAAAGGTCTCCCAGGCCGCTTTTCAGCACATCTTTGATTCGGGTCTCCTTTTCTTCGACCTCGCCAAACACTCCAGTCGCAGCAGTTTACCGTCTCACTTCATCTGGCCCTGTAAAAAAAAAATGTTGGTGTTTAGCATGGTAGGGTATACCTCTACTTCAATGGCCAAAATCAAGGAACCGCAATGGGTTATGCCACCCGGATAGGCATTGAATGCTAATCTTTTGGGCTTAATGAATTCCCTGATGGCATGCAAAACGCATGCAAAACACTCAGCTATTGGGAAGTGATTGGTGAAATGTGGGAAACCAAAAAAAGCCTGAACCCATTTTTCGTTTTTTTCGCAATTCCTTTACTAGTTTTGCAAAACCTAGCGAATTATAGGTGTGATCTGTGATTCTAGGTTTATCAAATGTGTCGAACCTTCGAGACGAGTTCATCAAACCTGGCAACGGACATTGCTCCATTTGTAGATGAATTAGAACAACTGGCAGTGTTCAAAGACGTCATGCCTTTACACTCCTTGATTGATCAATAACGCGTCCTATCACGTGTTAATAATAATCATACTTAATAATGATTCCTAATAACAACCACAAGACCCACGTTTTGAGGATGGCTGTGCCCGTGTTTAAGTCTTCTTGCAACAATTTTTGGATGAGTACCCTCTGGTAAACTGGAAAATCACCATCTTTAATGGCTAAATCAACTATATTTCATACTATTTCATACTATTTCTATAAACTAAATGGGCCTTTTTCAATAGCAAACTGTAACAAATTACCAGAGGCTACCCTATGAGAACTGGCCGCGGCCATTTTCTCATGGCCGGCCTGATCCGGGACGTCCTCGGGCGCGTCCGGCACATCTGCTTTCCTGGGGAGGTTGACGCACAAAAAACGGGATGCGGCAGAGTTCTAGATATTAATATATATATATATATATATATGTATATATATATATTATGTAAATATATATGTATATATATATATTATGTAAATATATATACCATATATAAATATATATTATGTAAATATATATATATATATCATGTTGTATCATTTTATATATGTTATATCATTTTATGGACCAAACAAATATCATGCAATATCCAAAGGAACTTTGGACATAAATGAAAAATATCGAAAAACAAAATCAGTGTGGAAATAAATGAAACCTGATCTGCCGCTGCGTGGATAGTGGTGATCCTCAACCTGACAGAATCTTCCATGTGCTGTAGCGCACTTCAGGCAACACTTGTGGATGATGATAATAAACAAGAATATATATATATATATTTAAAAAATAAAAATAATAAATAAAACAAAACAATAATAAACAATAATAACGATAATAATTACTATATCATAACAATAAAAACAATAAAACACTATAAAACAAATCATCTCCAAACTAAATGGAATTGAACCTGGATTTAAGGGCCAAAGTTTGATGCTTTCGCAAAGTTTGAACACAATTTGCGGTGAGAAAATGTTTGAGGTGTCTGCAAGTCCTGAGTCCTGGGTCCCCTTGTAGAAGGGCAAAAACTAGACACCAGGAACGGGATAAAATGAACATAAATGGACTATATAAATACCAGCTGTGGTTTGTTATCTACTGGAAAAATTATCTTGCAATTGATGTCCCGCAATGCAGCCAGACATTTTTTTCTAAGATCTCAAGAGATGTCTATCAGTGTGACACCTTGAGATCACAACCAAGTCAGCAATGAAAATTCAAACGGATTTGAAGCCACCGGGCTAAACAGCTGTAGGCAATGTTGGCGTGTGAAACCCACATTGATTCAGCATGCAGCTTACTGGGACTTCAACCTGGCAAGGAAGCTGTCCCATCAACTAATTCTTTACTCGTAGTTTTACAGTATCATGTTTGTTACCCTCTGGTTATTTAACATAGCCATGGAAAATGGCCCATTTATATATAGATGGTTTACCTATTAAAATGGTGATTTTCCATGGCTATGTTAAATAACCAGATGGTAATTGATTTTTACCATTGCAACTGTAACATTGTAGTTGCTGTGATAATATATGCGTGTTAAACCTACACATCTTATCACATATCTACATAAATCATCGACAAAATCTGCCATGCTACTGCCACGCCCTTGCCACCCCACTTCTCCTGGGCCAAGTCTTTTTCCTCGTCCGGTTTCTCCTTGCCGCGTGTCCCCGCACTGGATGCAGACAGTTTGGCAAATCTTTGATTCAAATTACTAGCTACGGATACTTGGAAACAACATAGGATTATGAGATCCATATCTGGCTAAATTCTATATCATATGATCTGGGTCAAGTAGAACAATCCTGAATTGGAAAAGAACCCATTCTGGAGTAGTGAGTTTGAAATCGGTGAGTTTGGGTCGTCTATAAGCGCGCGACTTCCTAAGTCAAAACATGCCATATTTATATATAATATATGCGTATAATACTTTATATACATATATATATATTACATGTACAGATACATATACACATACATATACATATACATATACATATACATATACATATACACATGTGTATATGTATGTATTCACATATCAATGATACATCTGTTATATTTTAATATCTTTTTCATATATAATAAATGACAACTACTCTTTACCATGCCCAGTCTTTCGTGCTCCGAAAACAAGCCACCGGATCAAGTCTCTCGCCTCGTAGAGCTGGAGCCGCTTGGCAAACGAGAGGCCTGAGACACGGATCGGATCTCCTTCCGGCATGGTATAAACCATCCCCCAGTCATCACCATAAATAGGTGGTATAAACCATCCATAGTATTGTCATGGTGATACCATATTATGGATTTCATATATACAACATAAAATTGTACACCCTTATTGAACACCCACATCATCACATACATAAAATTGTGGGTAAAGCAAAGTCATAAACCATCCCCCAGTCATCAGCATTTTGACAGGTGATATGTTTACATATGTTTACCATAGAAATAAACCGTTCCCAGTCATGGCTGGTTTATGACATTGTTTTGCCATGTTTTACCCCCATTCGTTCGTATTGCTGACCCTTTGATCATCTTCCTCAACATTCAACGGCTATTTAAGCGCCCCCACAGTTTGCCCCAAACAATGGAGATGTACCAAAAGGACGGCCATGTTCTATTCTCAACCATGATATTTGGGATTTTTCGAGACATTTTGAGGAAAAGAAAACACGTACTGTACGAACATATTAAACATGTTCGTGCAATTAAGGCTATATATTTTGGGGACACCAGGGACACCCTCCATCAAGCCGGAGTTTGAAAAAACCATGTTTCGCAGTCAGTCGTTCCAGTTTTCCTGGTTGAAACCCCATCTCTTATTGTCTAAATCCTTATGTTTGATCCCTAAACCGATGGATCAACTGGAGGATTAAAAAAATCATCCCACCATCATCCCATGAAATATCCCAAGATTCTCCCAAGAAAAAACACCACGAATCAAAACATATCAAAGCATATCAAAACCTTTGGTAATTGAACATAACTATGAAAAATCACCATGTTTAATAGGTATATAAATCAACAAACTAAATGGTAATTTTCAAGAGCTATGTAACAAATTACCAGAGGGTAGATCACATTGACAGTTCAGATCCCCAAATGTGTTTTAAATGTTTTTTGCTCAACTGCTAGCTCCATGCCTGACAATCAGCTACCGGGCATCCGCACGCCGGAGGTCGAGGGCTGAAGACCCTCGCCTGAGAGGTGTGGGCGTTGCATTGGATTTCCATATACTATGTACATATGAATTAATATCTGGTTGGTGGTTTTAACCATCTTGAAAAATATAAAAGACAATGGGAAGGATTATCCCATATTATGGAAAATAAAAAATGTTTGAAACCACCAATCAGATATGATGTGATATCCCAGTCTGAAATGCTGGCTGATTTTTGGGGGAGGTTCCTTTTACTAAGCATCATCTACAGGGAGGTCGTGATACTTCCTTTTAAAGGATCATTCAAGGACGGATCGTAGTAACTCAGCGAGGTCAGTTTCCAGCAGTGACCCAGGGATGTTGCAACACCTGAGGACCATGACCCAGCAGCATCATTGGCATGTCAACCATCAGGAATGGGGAGTTCAAGTGCACACAATAGGGATTTTGACCAAGATCGGGATGATTCCCCCACAGCAAAATCATTCAAAATCATTCAAAATCATTCAAAATCATTCAAATTAAAATAATCATGGAGGTTTCCTAAAAAGGGGATATCCCAAATCATCCAAAGTTAGATAAATTTCGGTTGAAACCCAAGGGAACTTGGCCCCGTTTTAAGAAACCCCCATATTCAGCCAAGGTCTGGGTTTGTCTTAAAACATGGTACCCTTTGATCCACGCGTTCATTACGTGTTCATTCATTTTGACCTGGTAATGATAATAGGGAAAACCATCATTATCAGAATGATAATGATAATGGATTAATGTCGATGATTAATACAGTCATATTGATCTGATAATGATTGGTTTCCCTGTTAGAAATTACCATCTTTAGGACCAGCCCCTGTGTTCAAAGAGACCCATATATCATATATCAAATTGGTACAATATAGATCCTATCCGATATCCCATGACATATCCTATCGGTCCTATCACATACAGTATCCCAGTCATACATGAATCCCACAACATATCCCATCAGAATTGTCCCTGTGTTTGCTGGTTATTAATGTTACTATATCCCACAAAATACAAAATACACCCACAATATCCAACAAAAATGTCATATAATATGTTTCATTGTTCATTATTACTGTTATCATATACTGTAAAATACCAGTATCCCATATCATATCCCCTGAAATACCAGTATAACCATCACAACTGTCCCATAATTCCCATAAAATACCCAACAAGTTATAACCCATCCTAAGTCTCCCTATTTCTGCTGGTTATTCATGTCAATATGTGCGCATTTCCTGAAATAGGGGAACCCCTAAATCATCCATTCTAGAGCTTTCCAGTATAAACCATCCAGCTATTGGGGTATTCCCATTTCTGGAAAACCCCATATCCCCTAAATACCCTCCGGTAAACGTTTACAAGGCTATTGAAAATGGTGATTTCCATCGTGGATTTACCCATTGAAAATTGTGATGTTCCATAGTTTTTTGTATGTTTACCAGAAGGTAAATCACCATTAATCACCATTAATCACCATTAATTATCATTATTAACCACTATTAACCACTATTAACCACTATTAACCACCATTAACCACTATATGATCGTTATGTTAGTTTACCAGAGGGTATCCCATTAAAAAAAAGGCAACATCTCCCATGGGTTCCCGTTGAGCCCGGGCCACGCGAGGCTTCCCGCGCTGTGAAGGATCCCGGCGACGAATCGTCCCGACAGGAGGGCGAGAGGATGGGCTCCTGGGCTATGGGAGATGTCACCAGCAAAAGTGAGGATGCGTGTATGTATATATATATATATATATTATATATATAGATATAGATATAGATATAGATATAGATATCTAGATAGATATAGATATAGATATAGATATATATATATTCTACCATAGAAGATCACTACCAAGCAAAATTCTCAAAATATTGAGGATTTCACTAAAAAAACATCATTCAGATTCAGCGACGAAGAGATCCTGGATGTCCAAAAATGGAGATTCGGAGGTGGATTTCACCAATGAAGCTCGAGATCGTTCGCCCAAAAAACATCAAAAAACACCTTTCCTATCCTGGCAACAGGCATGGAAAGGTACATCATGGTACATCTAGCAACCCCCCAAAAAGATCTCATCGCCCAAAATTCTGAGAAATTGGATGCCAAAAGCCCTTCCCATGACAGTCCTCCTCCCCACCTGGCGATTGCCCAGTCAGGTGGAATTTTCCCATGGATTTCCTGAAGGCCTTGTCCAAGAATGGGAGTTGACCAACAAAAATATGTTTTTGTTTACCAACAAAGACGAAGCAACCAAAAAATGGCGATCAAACATGATTATTAACCATATGGAGGTTTCCTAAGTCAGAAGGGGTACCCCCAGTCATCATCCATGCTATTTTCGGATTTTCCATGAACTCAACCATCCAGCGATAAAGGGGGTACCCATATCTATGGAACCCCGGAACCCCGCCTTTTAAAAACCCAACACGTTTCCCTCAGGCCTTGGCTGAGACGGTTCTGGCGCTTTCGTTGCAGGGCATCTTGCTTCTGTCGCCACGCACGCTGCACCTCACCAGGAGACATTCTCTGGGTAACCTTTTGATCATTCAATAACAATCATGGCAATTCAATCTTCAAGTTGATATCATTGATATCTGAGATATCTGTTTCTTGGTTCCACAGATAATAAAGCCAGTTGCTTGGTTCCACGGATAATAAAGCCAGTTGCTTGGTTCCACGGATAATAAGGCCAGTTAATATTCAACTGGTTGGTGGTTGACCTACCCCTCTGAAAAATATGAGTTCGTCAGTTGGGATGATTATTCTCAATATATGGAAAAATAAGAAATGTTCCAAACCACCAACCAGTGATTATTAACCATTATTAACCATTATTAACCATCATTAACCATCATTACCCCATACTAAACCTCTAATCAGTATTGCCATTGAAAATAAGAAACTTGTCATTGAAAAAAGGGACTGATGAACCCCGGACCAAAATTGTGAGGTCTGCGTGGGGGAGTTTCGAGGTCACTTGTTCGGGAATAAGAAACATTATTATGAACCTTATGTAATAACTTTGGAATATATTGTATATTATATGGTATAATGGATTCATATATTATTATCATATATTATAGTCATTTACATTACTAACATAGATCAAATTCCAGGATTTGATGAAGAAGCAGAGGTGGGATTCGTCAGTTCATTCCCATCAACTCCTTGCGACTCGCTATTCCCCAGAGTCTGGCTATTTATGGCCCGGTGGAGTATCTGGTAGCTTCAAGTGTCAATTTCTAGGTTGTAAACTTCACGCTTAAAACTCGGCCAATGGGGCCCAGATCCAAAAAACGCACCAATTCACCCAGAAAATGCCAACAGGTGATCTCAAAAAATTGGATTTCCTCAGTTATTCAAGCTAGCATTCCCAATGGAAAAACATGCATCTTGGAAGTGCACAAAATGACCTCGTCCTATAGGACGGGCAGGCAATGTTGGAAAGGCTTGGGAGCCGTTGATTTTGGAAAGAACCAAGGCTGGTTTCAATGGATCCCAGTCACCTTAAAGCCCTCGGTTTGGTCAAATCAAAAAGGGGCTGACCCCTTCATCAACTCCTGGGAATTCAGCCCCTGATCTTTCCGCCTCATTGAGCTTGTTCAGGCCGCCAGCGTATCTGCCATGGGACCAATGAGGGGCAGATGAGGAGTTGCAGGGCGAAGTAGCACCACTTCGATCTAGGTCGAATCTAGGTACTATAGATACATGTACCGCAGAAATGCACATATACAGTCGATCTACATCTACATGTATACGTAAATATGGTTTGTTATCTTGGCCGCGTGATAGACACATGTTGAAATGGTGGTCTTGGCCGCGTTACTCTTGTGGTCCTGGAAAATCTCCCTCGAAGCTGATGAAAATCCCATGGTTTTTGTTGCTTGGATACCAAGAAGACCAGATGGAGAAGAAACAAGGCATCTTTCACTAGTAATTCAGGTAATATATTGAATCCCAAGGAATCCCAAACCTGATCTCCTACCACAAACCTGGTGCACTTGAGGCTCCACGAGATCGCTCTAAATGGTAACCCAATGGGTAAATGAGGTGGTATCATTTGATAACTGGGTAAAAAACACAACTGTCTATGAAAATCTGAGGGTATTCCGTCCAAAGCTACCCAGAAAAAACGTGCATCCAAGCAAGTGGGCAATCATCATATTATATCCCAGTTGTGAAAATATCCCCAGTAGTTACTTATGGCTTATAAAATAGCCAATGGCGATTCCTGAAATTTACTCAAATGGGCAGTGTTCGAAACCGGCAACGTCATTCCACAAAAAACTTGTTGGTCTTGTTTTTGCAATTGGGGTTCCAAATTATGATCATTCCGAATGCATATATCAATGTATTGGGTAGAATAGCATCCTTTTTTCATCAACCAACGGGTGTGTTTTTAGTGTGTTTAAAGACATCCGCCTGCTGGCAATGCGATCCGCAATTTCTTGGATTTGCGGCAAGGTTTCCTGGAAGACATGGAATTGGGTTTGGGATGTATGGGATGTGTATAAGAAACACATAAGCATTTGCATTTTCTGGGATTTGACTAGCAAGTTCTGTGTTTTAATGGTATATTTTATGCAATAATTTATGGGATATAGTGGGATATAAAACTATACAACTTGATATGATATGTGGGTCCGTCTCAAAAAAATGGGTATACCTCAATTTATGCCAATTTTATATAATTAACTGGGAAAATGGTGATATATATATATATATATCCGCTGCATTTTAGTGTACGTACCCTATTTCCGGACAAACCCACATAATTACACATTTACCCCCACGGTGGGTAAAATACCTCGCAGTTTCTGAAGGGTGGTTGTGAGAAGCAGGAAGGGATTATTCCTATAACATACTATAACCATTCCGAACCTGGGTTTGTCTGAAAATGGCGGGACCCTGAATATCTGAATTCCATTTGGGATTAGCAACTCACTTTCCCCTTTTTCAATGGGCCGATTTGGGGAAGAGCCCTGGGCTCTTACCCAGATGCTTGTGGGTCAAGAATGGAGTCCCAATGGACCCAAAGGCGTGTCATTTTGTTGTATCAAGCCATCCATTTTGGGTGCATTTGATGGTGATGTTAACACATTGCCTAGCTCAGCATGGCATGGTTGTAGTTGTTTGTAGATGTTTGTAGGCACTGGGATGATATTCCGGCTGTTTCCGATGTTTCCTGGGATTTCTGCAGGGACATGCTGAGGTGGTGGGGATTGGACCCGCGAAAATGGACCTGCCAAAATGTGAAAAATTTTGGTCCTGTCATGTATTGGTCCAATCCCCAGTGAATTACCCTCTGGTAAACGTACAAAAAATTATTGACAATCGTCATTTTTCATGGGTAAATCCACTATAGATGGCCATGTTTCATGTTCAATAGCTATGTTAGTTTACCAGAGGGTACCCACTTAGATGGTCCCCGATCCTCGTTGCCAGTCTTCGGGGATGGCACCCAAGCACCGATATCGCTGCCCTCGCCACAGTGGTGCAGGGAAATCGTCGGCGGTTCACGATGAATATATCTATGGTCAAATGAGATCAGAAATTAACTTACTGATGCTTAGTAGGGAATGGATGGGAATGGGGGAATCGGGGGAATCGGGGAATGGGATGATTATTAATAGTTCTTGTGGATCATTCCCGAGAATTCCCTACTAAGCACAAGCAAGTTAGCTACTGTAAATTTGAAACTGTGGGGGGCACCATTTTCTGCGTCTGAGGGATTTTCACCATCAAATGTGGGATTTCAAGAGACTAAGACTTGTGGAGAAAACAATGGTTGGTCCCCCTGCTCACACGCATCTGGATCTTGGCCTTTCTCGATCAAGGAACATCATTTTACAATGTCAATCAATTTCATATGACAAGTTTGTAATAATAAATATTGCAAAAGTTAAAGAAAAAGGTAATGTCGTAGTTTTTGTCAAAATTGTATCTTGTAACTTTGGTAACTTTGTTGCATCATGCGTTCTAGATGCCTCAACTTCCAAAGACATACTTAAGCATGTCCAGCGCAGCATCAGGTGTAAGGTGAACATGAACATTAGCCAACCCAACCCCAAACCCCCCTACACCCCACAAGAAAACTGTTGACCTCAAGAAACAAACAGGGACTAGTGAATGTTTTAAGTAAACTGAGTCCTTAAACCGACAATGAAGGTATAGAATGGTATAGAGCTATGATGAGCTACAAGCCTTAAAATGAGAAACATATGAGTCGGAACAACAATAAAGATGATTCGAAGTTTTATTGGGCGTATATATTGACAAATGGTGGATCCCCCAGACCATATCCATTTGAACATGGTGAAAATGTTGGGATGTTTTGGGGGGTCCCGACAGTAAGAAACCGAAGGCAACAAGAAAAAAGTGGGTTGATCTACTGCCAGCTACCATGGTATTTTCTGTAACTAATTATGACAATGGGAACATGATCAGAAACGAAGGACCCACAATATTTGCCAGTTTTGGCAGTACTGAGCCGTCGCCAGGTTAAACTGCGCTCGTAGCAAAGGCTGGATGTTCATCGATCAAACCGATGGTCCCATAAAAATCGTCGCCTTTCTTTTGCTTCGAAACCCATGTTCAACAGTTCATTGAGCTTCATCCATATTCATCCATAGTTTGACCTTCAAATATTATTAATACTACATTTAAATGAAAATTAAATATATATATATATAATTATATAATTATTATATAGATTAGATTAGATTAGATCCAATCTCTTGAAGGATCTTGATGGTGAAATCCCATCTTCATCTCATTTTTAGCTGGCACCTGGAGTCCCTTGGCCAAGCTTGGGAGGCTCGTCTCGCAGGCAACAACCTAGGGATGCGGAAAATCCCGTGCTTTATTTCGGGGGAGATCATGGGATACTGAGCATACAAGTTGTGAATGAGACTTCGCTAAGTTGGCAAACTCAACTAGTTGAGCTAAGTTGGTTTGATGCTGAAACTATGATTAGAATTGATTAGATGGAGAAGAAAACCAACTGGGGGCACCATCCGATTCACGGGACCATCTAGCTGTGGCCATCAATGGATTGGTGTTCTTCAAAATCACCGGCAGCCATGGGTTTTTTGCTCCGAAAGATTGGGGGTTCCTTCAAAATTTCCCATCATGGGTGAATCTTTTTAAGGGCCACCACCAAGTCTTGACGAATCACTGATTCTCTGGCCATTTTTGGAAGTAAACCGTCCTAGTTTCGGGTTTTCCTTTATGAACTTTAAAGTTTGAACCACTTCTGGAAGTATGCAGTTGATTAAAAACTGGTGATTGTAACTACTTCAGTCAGGGGTCGTCCCACTTCCCCTTGCAGAAAGCCTTGATCCTCGGTCACGTTGTCCGTCACCCGAGGCTCCGACACCTTTCCAAGGTTCACGCGCTGACGGACTCACCCTGGCCAGGCCAGAACCACGGCTGGTCATGTTCAATGTTTCTTACGGAATGTTCGAACATATGTATATATATATATATATATGCATGCATGCATGCATGTATGTATGTATGTATGTTGTGTATGCATGCATGCATGTATGTATGTATGTATGCATGCATGCATGTATGTATGCATGTATGTTGTGTATGCATGCATGCATGTATGCATCTATGCATGTATGCATGCATGCATACATGCATGTATGTATGCATGTATGCATGTATGCATGTATGCATGTATGCATGCATGCATACATGCATGTATGTATGCATGTATGCATGTATGCATGTATGCATGCATGCATGCATGCATACATGCATGCATGTATGTATGTATGCATGCATGCATGTATGTATGTATGTATGTATGTTGTGTATGCATGCATGCATGTATGTATGTATGCATGCATGCATGCATGTATGTATGTTGTGTATGCATGCATGTATGCATGCATGCATGCATGCATGTATGTATGTATGCATGCATGTATGTATGTATGTATGTTGTGTATGCATGTATGCATGTATGCATGTATGCATGTATGCATGCATGCATACATGCATGTATGTATGCATGTATGCATGTATGCATGTATGCATGTATGCATGCATGCATACATGCATGCATGTATGTATGTATGTATGCATGCATGCATGTATGTATGTATGTATGTTGTGTATGCATGCATGTATGTATGTATGTATGCATGCATGCATGCATGTATGTATGTTGTGTATGCATGCATGTTTGCATGTATGTATGCATGCATGCATGCATGCATGCATGTATGTATGTATGTATGCATGCATGTATGTATGTATGTATGTTGTGTATGCATGCATGTATGCATGTATGCATGTACGCATGTATGCATGCATGCATGCATGCATGTATGCATGTATGCATGCATGCATGCATGCATGTATGTATGTATGCATGCATGTATGTATGTATGTATGTTGTGTATGCATGCATGTATGCATGTATGCATGCATGCATGTACGCATGTATGCATGCATGCATGCATGCATACATGTATGTATGTATGTATGTATGTATGTTGTGTATGTTGTGTATGCATGTATGCATGTATGCATGTATGCATGTATGCATGTATGCATGTATGTATGTATGTATGTTGTGTATGCATGTATGCATGTATGCATGTATGCATGTATGCATGTACGTATGTAAGTTGTGTATGCATGCATGCATGTATGCATGTATGCACGTATGCATGTATGCATGTATGCATGTATGTATGTTGTGTATGCATGTATGCATGTATGCATGTACGCATGTATGTATGTATGTTGTGTATGCACGCATGCATGCATGCATGCATGTATGTATGCATGTATGTATGCTGTGTATGCATGCATGCATGTATGCATGTATGCATGCATGCATGTATGCATTGATGCATGTATGTATGTATGTATGCATGTATGCATGCACGCATGTATGTATGTATGTTGTGTATGCATGCATGCATGCATGCATGCATGCATGTATGTATGTATGGTTGTATGTATGTATGTATGTTGTGTATGCATGCATGCATGCATGCATGCATGTATGCATGTATGCATGTATGCATGTATGCATGTATGCATGTATGCATGTATGCATGTATGCATGTATGTATGTATGTATGTGTATGTATGTATGTATGCATGCATGTATGTATGTATGTATGTATGCATGTTGTGTATGCATGTATGCATGTATGCATGTATGCATGCATGCATGTATGCATGCATGTATGTATGGATGTATGCATGTATGCATGTATGCATGTATTAATATCGTTATTACTGTTGTTGTTATCATATACTATTATCATTATATTATTTAGTTTTTTATTTTGTATATTATATTATATTGTTATATATATAGATATATATATATATATATATTGTTATCAATATTGTTATTATATATTATCATATAGTATATTTTATTATATCATATTATATTTTACTATATGTTTATATATTATTATATATTATGAAATATTATCATATATTATTATTGATTATTATATATTGTTATATATTATTATATAGTATTATATAGTATTATATATTATTATATATTATCATATATTTTTATTTAGTATTATATATTATTATATATTATTATGGTGGCCCCCCCTGTACCTACCCTTTTGTACTTTTACTGGTATTTGCATGCTTTTCTCACTAATTTAGAGAAATGTTACACACACATACACACACATATAGTCATATATATATATGTGGAGGCCCCAGCACCGTGGGCATCCAGCTGCTTGATCAATTCGGGAGATCAAAATTCGTTACCTTATCAGAACCATTTGCTGCAGGGGATTAGCAACATCAACTTTGTCTTCATGGGGGAAACCAAAATTCGCCAGCTCATGGTCTTTTTTCTCTGTCCTTGCTGGTCTTGCGCCTGTCGCCCCCCTCCCACCGGACGGCTTTGTGCTCGTCCGGCGGGAGTCCTGCGGCGGGGCGTTTTGGCAGGGGCAACAAGGTCATTCAATTTTCTTATCGGAAATTTCCATCGTCCGGTACCATTACAAGATGTATACGCGCGCATTCTCATGTAAGGACACATTCTCATTCTGTCTCCGCTCTCCCTCTCTGTCTATATCTTCATCATCTTTTGATCCGTGCATTTTATATTTAGTCTTGCCAAATAGAATTTCGAATGCGCAATCTTGAAGTTGCACACCAATGCTTATAATTCTAATGGTTTGAAACGTCGTTAGATGGAAGATGCAAGTTGCCTTTAGCGAATAATTAAATGATGTGGCTCGTGCTCATCCCGGGCCCCAGCCGCACTCCCCGGCCTACTCTTGCAGCTCTGCCAGCAGAGCCCGCACGTGCCGGGCCACACGCACGGCCCCAGGCACGGTGGGTGCGGTGGTGCCGAGCTTCCCTCAGGCACCGGCGGGCTGCTTTGCCCAGTGCAGCCTTCAGGCGGCGCACCCTCAGGAGCTCCAGCACGTGCCCGTCCACCTCCTCCTTCGGTGTGAATCAGGGGGTCCAAGGGGTCTAGAATTATACAGATAGGCATAGCTAGATCGTAGAGGCATACACACACATATAAATATAAATATATATATATGTTGATATTTACATAAACAGTATATCTACTGAGCTGTAGGTGTGCAACCTTTTTTTTCGAATTTTTCCTTGTTTTGCATCCATTGATCTTTCTGCACTAAGAAATGTCTCAATCCTGAATGGCCGATCTTTATCATGTCTATATATGAATATTGGATATTGTTATTTTTAGACCTGATAAATTCTGTTCTCAAGTCGTTGTTCGAGGAAATGTATCGGGTCATGGTGATCAACCTACTTGCTCAAGCAATCTATGATAGAATCAGGATATATAATTGATGATGCATCATTCGTGCTATTTAATTCTTTCTGTCATCGTGAATGCATTGTGGTTGGTCCTGCGCGGTCTGGCGTTGCCTTTGAACCCAATTCCTGGGCGGGTGCTGCTGGCACTCCGCCAGGAGTTGGCTCACCCTCGACCGGCTGTACCCAAGGTGGTGTAGTGCCTGACGCACAGCAGCCTCATTGGGCTTCACCACCTTGAGTCTGTAGACAGCGAGCTGCGCAGGGCCCGGACCTTTATGTATAGAATGACGGGGTTCTGGATCCACAATTGCGCCTGCAGCAACTCCAATCATTTTTCTAGTGCCAACATTTGCAAAAATGTACGACCTACGGTCAGCGCGACAAAATGAGGACGCCATAAGCTGTGCAACAGCGTAACGTAAGTTTACTGTTATTCCCCACCTGCCAGGTGAGGGTTGTTAGATTTTATCACAATTGTTCTCCTCCTCCTCTTCCTCCTCCTTCTCCTTCTCCTCCTTCTTCTCCTTCTCCTCCTCGTCCTCCACCACCTCTGCATCCACTTTTATGTCCACTTCCGCATTGCCAACTCTTCGCCAATCTCTTCGCCAACTTCTGTGGCAGCGGGCACTGCTGGACCTCAACTGCCGGCTGCCGATCTGAGTGGGCACGGCTGGACCTCAACCGCAAGGTTCCGAGCGCAGTGGGCACCGCTGGACCTCAACGGACCTTCCGAGCCCAGTGGGCACCGCTGGACCTCAACCTGGGACCTTCAGAGCTCAGTGGGCACCACTGGACCTCAACCTGGGACCTTCCGAGCTCAGTGGGCACCGCTGGACCTCAACGGTCAGATAGAATGCCAGAAGATATGCCAGATAGAACGCCAGATAGAATGTCAGATAAAATGCCAGAAGATATTCCAGATAAAATGCCAGAAGATATGCCAGATAGAATGCCAAAAGATATGCCAGATAGAATGCCAGAAGGTATGCCAGATAGAATGTCAGATAGAATGCCAGAAGGTATGCCAGATAAAGTGCCAGAATGTTTGCCAGATAGAACGCCAGAAGATTTGCCAGATAGAATGTCAGAAGATATGCCAGAACATATGCCAGATAGAGTGCCAGAAGATATGCCAGAACATATGCCAGAAGATATGCCAGGTAGAATGCCAGAAGATATGCCAGATAGAATGCCAGAAGATATGCCAGATAAAATGCCGGAAGATATGCCAGATAGAATGCCAGAAGGTATGCCAGATAGAATGCCAGAAGATTTGCCAGATAATATGCCAGAAGATGTGCCAGATAGAATGCCAGATGGAATGCCAAAAGATGTGCCAGAAGATGTGCCAGAACATATGCCAGAAGATTTGCCAGATAGAATGCCAGATAGGATGTCAGAAGATATGCCAGAAGATATGTCAGTTAGAATGCCAGAAGATATGCCAGATAGAATGCCAGATGGAATGCCAGAAGATATGTCAGATAGAATGCCAGAAGATTTGCCAGCAACAAAATGTATAAATGTCATGGTGGGGATCACTCGAAGTAAAGTAATTTTACATCTTTAGACCTCAGTATATATCTGACAATAGTCAAAAC